AACAGTCTTTGGAACAAAAAAAAATTGCGCAAAAGTCACCCGTGTAGATTTTTGCTCTTCACTCAAACGATGAGGAGCAAATCTCGCAGATTTCATTTTTTTATTTTGACAGAATTACCTTGGAAGGCCAGGAGGAAATCCTTGGAATTAATTCAATGCCAATTTCAAGAATTCTGAAGGAGAAGCTGGACTAAAAAAACAAAACTGTAAGTTGGGCGCTTCATCTTTCAAGTGAAGAACAAAAAGTTGCCCGAGTGACTTTTGCAAAAAATTAATAAAAACATCAAAAGAGCTGAATTTTTTTCTTGTGCAAAAGAATGCATTTTCTGAACAATAACTGTTTTTAAGCTCATCATTTGCCATTTAAATTTCTATCCCGAGAACTTTTGTCATACCCATCGTATGAGTTATGATGGATCAGATGACTTAATTACAGTACAAATGTAATTTCACGGCAATCCAACAAAACTCGGAAGTTAATCGCATTCGGCACGTAATGTATGGCGGAAATTCTCTTCTGTTCACACATACAATTCTTCCTTCATCAATCTCAGGTGGACTATGAAGATGAATACATTTCAGCATTGAACAATGGCCGGTTTCCATCAGATGTGGATATGAGAGCTTTGGAACAAGGATACAGTATAGTACAGTACTTGAAAGAAAGGTGCTTCAGAAGTATCAAACACCAAAATTTCGCTGAATCAAGGAAAAGCTTAATTGTTTAAAATACCAGGTTGACTTAATGCCTTCACGTTTCTCGGGAAGGCAACATTTTGCAGCTAATTACATGTGGACGCTCTCTACAACGATTTTCTCTGCGTTATATAAGTTCTCCACAACGAAATTCTCTTTAAATATTATTTTTCTCGGCCCTAGAATTTTTTTGCAGAGAAATTCCACCTGCATACATTTCGGCGGAGCACTTATCTCGCCTCGAATGTTACAGCAACAGTATTAGAAACGGGTTCTCCTCTCATTGAGCAGGCAAAAAGTATTCGACAGTAAAAAAACACACAACAAGCGACATAAAGAATATTCAGGCATAATTAGCAGCAAAAGCTGAACTAGCACTTTATGTCATCTTGATGTACAGAAAAATTCTTTGATGAACTGTCCAAAATTTTACGATTGAGACAGGAGAAAAAAATAATCATCTCGTTTGGTACCTGGACATGAAAGAAAACCACATCACTTGAGGAAATCACCAGGATAAACCTTCTCACTTTCTTCCTCTCATGGGAATGGTATCCTTCAACTTTCTACTTCTCTCGACTGGAAACCGCGAAATCAGCTGTGATTCGCCCAGAGAAAAGGGTTTCTCACGACAACGATCTCAGAACCATTAGTGAGAACACGGAAAAAGATTTCGATGCAAACTAGGCCAACTACATCGTAAAATAGAAAGCAATGGAATTATTTCTAAACGCTTTCACCTTCTGAAAGGATTGACATACGACTTCAGAAATTTCACGATGTATCATAGACAAAGTAATTTTGAATGTGAATCGACGGCCACGAAAAATTAAATTTTTGTGAATTAAAAAATACCCGGATTCCGTAAGCCGGAAAAACGCTCTGAATTTTTATCAACTACCAAAAATTATTAAAAAAGGAAGAGCGTCAGAAATAAATTGACAAAATTAATCAAGATTAAAGGTGGCACGAAACGGCCTAACATCGTTGATTCAATGACCGGAGGAGACTCGAAACGGATCAAGAACGGAACAAATACACATGATTTTATCTTTTTAAACGAATAACACCATGTTCGGTCTCGGAGACTGTTTTGAGTTTCTTTTTGAATATTCACCGACACTCGAGTCGAGCAAAGAGCATCTGCCAACGGTGGAAAAATCTCTTCCGTCCTTGGCCTCGAGGTGATGCCCCAGTGAAGGCGGTTCTCCCAAAGATTCTATAGGGCTGTCGTGGGCATCCAAACACAGGACTCTTGATAATTCACTTCAGATCACCATCTCAACATTTAAATTATGATTAATGCGCGAAATTGATTAGTGTACAAAGAAATCATAATCCAAAAAAAAAAGGGATCTGGTAAGCTTTCAGCTGTTCCCACGGAAAACATGAATTCGAAGGCCGAATGTATCGGTTTTGTTTTCAACCAAATATTCGCTTCTAAATTAGATGCATTTAATGAATATGCTGTACTTCATGATAAAAGCCCAAAAAGCAAAAGGAATACCGCATAATTGAGAATTTTTCACCAGGCTTCAATTTCGTTCACTTATCCAACACAGACCTTATTTCAAATGGCGGTATCAAAAACTAGCAGATGTACCAGACAAAGGAAGAAATCATCCTTCCTCGTTTTGTCACATAAATTCAAGAAGATACTTTCAAATAAGTTTGTTTTTTCTTTCGATTGCGTCCATTACTTAAGATTCAACAATTCAATGAATAATCTCTTATTTGTACAGCATTTTCAAAGCTTAATTTCACCATACCATTTTGGGTCAATTTTAAAAGAATGAGCAGGATCGAACAAACTGGATTCCGTGAAAAAATTCAACACGGAACTCCGCAGATTTAGAGGGAATGTTTTGCCGTTAAACGTCATTTCTCACGGCATAAAACTTCAGTGTGTGACAGTTGATACCCATCACTCAACGCTTAAATTGTTTTACGAGCAACTTCCGACGGCATGACAGGCCGTTTAATTATTTTACCATTTTCTTCAACGAGCACTTCCGATTACTTTACAGCCTTCAGCTTACCCAAACGGCAAGTGGGATTACCAATAGGTAAACTCGGCAATTCAAGAGACATAATTGTTCCAGGAGGCTAAAACAAAAATCATCTGAAAACTCGCATTTTATAGTGAATGAATAACTGAACCAAATGTCTTTTTTTCAATATATCTGCTTGAATCTTCGAATCTCATAACCAATTTGTTGTTATAACGGAATTTTTCCCAGGAGTTTGTTGTAACAAAATTCAACAGATATCCCCATATGCAGCAATATGACATAAACGTTGATTAGTTGGTTTAATATAGCATACGTAAGGGTTCCTAACTTCATTACGGGATGTCGACGATATCATTTCCCGAAAAAGTTAGAAAAGGTCTAACCTGGTGAAAATTCTCTACTAACTTGTGTCTACCACCTACAGGGAATTGATTCCGGCATCAACTCTGACTTCAATTAAAATAGACGATTCTTAGTTCACACTTCCAGTACAGTTTTTGAAAATGCCCCTGCCCTGCGGGCAAATTCCTTCGGTCGCGCAGAGCCATCTGCTCGCGACCCGACAACATATACAGTACCATAATTCACGATACAGTACAGTATTCAATTTTCTGCGAACTGAGATTACAGTCTGTCCTTCGATTACTCAAACACTTCGGTTTGTCCATCTAAATAAAAAATGTTGATATTTATTTCGCGTGCGAAATTAACGCTCCTTCAGAAGCCTACTAAAAGAGTCTCACTTTTATTTTGACAGTTTCCTGCAAACCACCAGTGGTACGCGATTGAAAAAAAAACATGCACTTGCAATCTAGAAGCAATTCGGTCCACTTCAACCATTATCACGATTAACCCAATTGCTTCCACGATCGCTAAAATGGGGCTGTTGACAATCTTGAAACGCAAGAACAATAAAAAAGGACTTCGCTCGAAAAACGGTAAAAGAACCGAGGACTTTTTTTTTCCGGTGATGCGTAGTAGAGAGTGAAGAAGGCAAGGTTCTGCTAGTAGCTGCTGCCGGAACCTGCTGTCCTTTGGGGCAAAGGGCAGTTTCGTAAAAGTGGGGTGATGAGAGGTAGATGCAACCATCCTTTCCCGAGCAAGCAACCAACCGATCGTTCCTTCGCCCACGGGCTCCCGCTCCCACGCCACCGAGCTCTCATGTAATCATTTCAGCCACGTCTTTCTCTCGACCTCCGCCTTAAGCACAATGCGGCGCTTATTTTTGCGCAAGAGCCAGCTTCCCCCAACACCCACGCGCCATTTGGTTGAACAAACCAGGGTAATCACTTTTACGCACCTGGGGGACTACTTCCGATGAATGTACAGTACTAAGTTCGCGCCAAGAAGAATCCGCGAATTGCTTCTTACCAGGGTTCCCCAAAAACGAGACCGGGTTTTCGCGAACTCATTTCCTACAGAGGATGTACAATACTGTACAGCGTTGTTCCACTTGGGTGCTAAAAATTTTTCAGGCCAACTAAACGTTGAAATTTTGTTGCCGTTTTAACCATGCTCTAAAATTTAGAGAACATAATGGTTAAAAATACGTAATGTACAGTACTAAAATTTTTTCAATTTCTTCGCTGGCCCAACATTTTTCAGCAACCTGAGAAATAAGCGGAGAACTCGGGGCATGGAACTGGAAAGTTTTCCTTCATCATCATGCAGTAAATTGATTTTGTTTAACCCGAAAAAAATTCCGGAACCTTACAACATCACAGGCTCTACCATACTTCTCTTCACAGCCATATACTGTATACTGAACCGAGTGAGATTAAATAAAAATGATCGTCAGTTTTTCTCTCTCAAAATTTGACGAAGAAACAGCTGTAAGATGTCACCAGCAACACCAAGCGTTGAATATGTACCGAATTATTCGGCAACATGACTTCAGGACTCTCAAGAAAACTTTTCAGCCTTACAGAAGAAGAAAACTGTAATAAGCATGGAACGTCGCCTCCACCAAAATATATACAGTAACTTAATCCTTTTCCACCGAATTATTCGGCAACATGACTTCAGGACTCTCAAGAAAACTTTTCAGCCTTACAGAAGAAGAAAACTGTAATAAGCATGGAACGTCGCCTCCACCAAAATATATACAGTAACTTAATCCTTTTCCCGGAACAGAAAACGTTCTTGCACCTAGTTTTAAAGAGGATTTCCGGAAAATACGCCAAAGATGATTCCACGAATAAGTAATATTTTTGAGAAAATACGTTAGTGATTCGCAATGACGCATCCTTCCCACAATCCAAGCGGAGTATTCGTAAGCACGGCATCACTCACTTCTTTCGACGGAACACAGAGGGGCGTGCCGACTTTCAAGATCCCAGCTTCAACGGACACTCCAATGACTATGGGATCCCGAGTATTGAAGATGAACTGCGCATACAAAGGGGGGAGAAAAAGGATAAACTTTTAGGAAATATTTCCAACAAAAAACCAACAATTCTCCAATTTCTGGGAACAATAAAAAAAAAAAGGATTCAGAAATCGATTCACGCACCTGCGGCAAGATCTTGAGTTTACAAGGGAACACAGCCAGATGCTCGTTTTCTCGGCGCCGCTTCTGCTTCAACTCTTCCCGATACGCCATAAAATGGTCAAATAAATGGTAAATAATGTTGGCCTGAAAAGAAAAAATAGACAATTTCTCCCGTTCAAATCAAATTTCACTCGAAAGAAAAAAATTCTCAAAGTGACCGCTCTTAATAGCACGAAAGTTCAATTCTTCAGGTTTTTCCATCTCGATAGTTTTACCTAACCAAAAGGCTTTTTACCTCCACAAAACGTTCAGAAACTTCTGCTATACGTATTTTCAATGATCTCTTAAAAATAAATGAAATGCTCCAAGAAACTCAAGAGAGGGCAACAAAAAAGAAGAACCTCGATTATCTGCGATAATAATATTTACACTGAGCGATCTAATGTCAAGGATTATAAAAAAATGTGTACTTCCGATGACCCGATTCGGCATACTGTATATCGAAGTGGAACTAAATTTCAGACGGCGATACGAACTTATCTTCCTGGAAACACTGATGAGCAGCCATTTGGTTCTCATGCGAGAAAATTCTTTCATGTGCTCACCATGTTTTGTCAAAATTTTCAATGATACATATGAAATTTGTTATCTGGGGAAATAAATAATTAACAAGCCTGTTCTTTACACCAGCGTTCCCCAAACTTTTTTGGCCCCCGAACCGGCAAATTTTCATGGAATTTTCCGCGGACTGGCAAATCCCCAAAAAAGTTTTTGCAGACCGGCGAATTTCTTCAACATTTTTTTCTGACCGGCAAATGTTTCAAAAATTTTGTGCAGACCGGCAAACATTTTCATGAAATTTGTTTGAACTCAGTTTTGCTTAACGTCAGGTATTTAAACGTTTCTGATATTTCGCAAAAATTGACTTGAGCATCAATGAATCAGTTACAATTCCATGTAATCCAAAAATTATGTCCACAAGTTTCCTCGCGCGTTAAACCTCTCGATACATCTAAAAAAAAAAAGATTCATTTCAATGGAAATAATTTTGCTTTGGCCACGAAAATTATGAAGTTATGCAAGCTCTTGTCATGAACTCTTTCCCGACCAGCAGTTCAAATACACACGCAAATGTAGTTCAAAGATTTATGAAAAAAAACCTTGGGAGGGTGATGAAGTTTTTAGAATTTTACCTGAAAAATTCGAACCCGCACAGCGTCAGCATACTCTTGCGCTTCTCTCTCCACCTTGACATCAAATGCGAGGATCACGGCGTACCTGAAATTAATTGAGTTTACATCATCATCAGTCATCCCAGATAATATAGCAAAAGTCCGAAACTGTTAACTTCCGTCGCATCCTACGAAGAGACGGGGGGATCGATTTTTCATCGAGAAATGCGAGACATTCCATGCTCCGGTTGCATGATCCCCCTCTTCCAACAATTCGACAAATAAAAAAGCAGGGCAAACAACAATGATGACCCCCGAAATTTAAAAAGGTGAATGCCAGGCATTTAGAAATACACCCGAGGCACTCAAAGACTCATCCATTCACCGACCCAAGAATTTCTACCCTGAGGGCACCAAATCATTCCCGCGTTCGTTCTCCCACCTATACACGGTACGACGTTAAAGAAACATTCCAGCTTCAGCGTTGCCAGTCTCGTCTCACCCTCGTAAAAAATGCGTTACTGCACACGCAAATACAGTAGAGTAACAAATTGAATTACCCGTTTCCCAATTCCAATGAACTGAAGAGGAAACATAATGTTCTGCATCATTCCAGTTAGAGCCTCTTGATTCATTTCGCTGATTTACCAGGATAACGTTATTAGAAACTTGTAGGAATGTCATGACATTTTAAATGTATTGATTCATATTTTTTTCCAGAAGTCCGGAACATTTCGTTATTTGGCGATACGCACCCGGTACTTGAAAGGAACAACCGAAAACCAGCAGAACTTCAAGAAATCTTTTGCAAGATTCATACTTCTAAGATTCTCATTTTTATTACTCGAGCAATCGCTGGATGAGAAGCGAAAGATGCAAGAAAGTCGGTCAAATTTGAGTTTCACTAGCTATTACACTAATGAACGTGTGGGAAAAGGCGCCAACTATAATTAATATTTTACTCCCAAAAGTTACTTTCCACGGTTCGACAAAATATTCGAACCTCTCGGAGAACTGAACTTTAGACTCTTCAAGAACTGAAATTCAAAATTCATTTTTCAGTATATTAATCGGAGAATTCTTGAAAAACTCAGCACGAAACTTATTCTCTGACCGGATTTTCATTATTGCCACGATTTGACGTTTAAACTAGGGTACAGTACTCGTCAATTCTTCGTAAAGCCGTTACCAAATAACAGCAAGGGCTTGTAAATTTACCGTTTTTCTAAGGTTCTCACAAAGCAAGACTTCCGAGTTTTCGCAGGGAACATATTTCCATCTTTCTAAATGGCATATACTGCAATAGGAAAACTTTCATGACAATCGCTTCTATAGTTTTTTCTCGGATTGTTCGTCGGGATTTAAAGGCATCTGAATTCTCAGAACAAAAGCAAAAATATTGCATTCCTGAAGTCTGCTTTGAAACCCCCACTCAGTTATTCTTAGCCTTTGAATCAAGCTAGATACATGAGAAAAATTCAGAAAATGCTGAATATTTCCTTGCCGTATTCTCACGATTAGCGCAGAATAATTGGCGATTTATAAGAGGAAATGTGGCCAATACATCCCTGGAACAGCGACGTATTTGGTCAGAGAAATGGATTAAAGATTACGCAGGCTTTGCCAAAAATTAACGCAGTACTGAAATAACTGGACAAAATACTGTAACAGGATATCATTTGGAAGACCATTTTCTGGGGTTCTTGTTCTTCAGAACCCCAGAAAATAATCTCCCAAATGATTGCATGCATCTTGATGTGTCTGAGACGGGATTTTGCTTGCTCAATGTTCCCTCGACATCCGCCCCCCCCCCCTCATGATCTTGAACCTTGGACGAAAAACTAACAATTTTTTTTATTCCATGGCATTTTTGACCATGATGACTGCGTTGGACAAAAGCGCACACTTGAATAATCTAAGAAACCATCGCATGCAAGACCAATTCATTTTCAAAGTTAATTTACGAGGCGGAAAAAAGTACAGTACTGTGCGTCGAACGAATTGATTCGGTAATTTGGCATTTTTCGAGAAACAAGTTTCTTTTTTTTTGTGGGCAACCCGGTAGGACCCCGGAGAACTCAAAGCCCTCATATACCCGACCCGCCCCGCAATCATCAATTGCCTGGCCGCGGACCGACGAGACACGGCTCAAATACGCCAACCCATATACCTGAGCGGCAATGCGAGGTGAGGCGAAAAGACGCCGATAATTGCGCCGGCAAGGGATCATCACACCGCCACCCGCGGAATTCACCCCGCGGCGTCCCCCCAGTCATCCCGACCGGGGGCTCCGATTCCACGCAAAATATTTCTCAACCTTCCTCCCCCCGGAAAGACGCGCTATAATCTCTCGAACCCCGCTGCCCACTCAGCCTTCCACGCGAGCTGTGTCTTCTGAAAGTTCGGTCCCCGCATCATAGTTTCCTCATTTTTCTCGTCACATTTACCCTTTGTGCGAAGATTTCATTCAATATGAAACTCTGAAATTTCATCACGTTTTTTTTGGAGACATACATCCGCTGCTTCGAATCGCGCATTTGAAATTTAAGGATATTTCGGGGTTGGTTAACCCTGATTCCGTATATAGGCCATAGGGATTACTTGATATTTCGCATAAAAAATGGACATGTGCAACATTAAAACTTGATAAAAAAAAGCTGAAATTTCTGTAGATAAAATTTAGTGTTGAAGAAAATACACAGAATGACACATTTCACTGAAATTCTGTAGCTCCATTTGAGAATATATGCCTTTCTCTCTGTGGTGTGTTCAAAAGAATTTTCGTCCATTTAAAAGAGTGAACAGGCATAAATGAATAAGTTGATATTTAAGGAAGCATTTTCCCGTACTCTTGTTTCATTTTATTTTTCAGATCGAACAACACATTAGTAGAAAGGCAGGTTCAATATTAGAGAAATACTGCATTCTCAATTTTTCATTTCATCCGATAGAATAAGATATCATGACAGGTTTTAAATTATCAATCGTAGAAGCACTTCACAGTACAGTATTCATTATCAATTTTCCACAAAATTTCTGCCTGACACGTTAAAAAAACAATGAGTCTCCATACTGCATAACGCAGTTTTTCATCAGGTGCTTACGAGTTTGTTGTAACGAGATTTTACCGTACTTCATACTAAATCACTTCGAATATTTTGCTAAGTATACTCTATCGCATTTTGATGTATCACACAGACAGGCTCGGAAATATGAAGGAGAATATCAGAGTCTTTATTGTAAGGGCCCGGGAAACACGCGAAGATTATCGAGTATTTAATTTAATACAAAATGAAAACTATTCCACTTCCGAACATCATTGGTTCATTTGGGTGGTTAACCATGGAGAAGGTCCCTGTCACAGAATCTGATTTTTTAAAACTAGAAAAGTCAGAACATTCAAAAATAATTGCCTTAGGTTACGCTATAAAATTCACATTAAATTACAGTACAATATCTCCCTGTCGTACTTACGAATTTCGGTCGGGTTGCGATTACGGCGATAGTGCCAACAAATCCAAAAATTAGCCTCAAAATTCCCCTGCGAGGTTGAGCATCGAAGCGAAAAGAACCAAACGCGACAATGGCCAACATGAAGATAACCGGAACATTTGAAAACATTTTCAAAAGCCCTCCGTGGCTCGAAAATCGGAGGGAGAAATGATAAGCTAGATGCGCAAACGCCAGCTTCATTCTCTCTTCAAATTACTGATAATTCCATCCACTCACAGACGCACGCAGGGAAGCGGAGGCAACCGGAAAAGGCAATTTTATTTATTGCGACGGGATGAGCCGCGCGGAATGCACGAGTTTCCTGTTTTTCTCGCTGCTGGACCACCCGGCAATGAATGAATCGACAATGAATCACTGACCTTATGCACTTCACGATGTTCTTTATCTCTATCACCTCCTCTCCCCCCCCCCTCTTTGCCCCGACGAGGGCAACAACACGGGTGCGGTGGAATTCCATCCAACCCGGACGCAATTTCGCGAGAAAGCTTTTTTTTTTTTTTAAATCCAGCGAAGAGTAAACTGTAGATGTCACTGGCCGAATTAAACCCAAACTCACGAGAAAAACGGCATTTCTCTATCGAAAGTTTCCAAGCTTCTTCCCTACACAGCATATTTATGTATGAAAAGGTCCTCGAACCATGACATCCTCAGCGAAAGTGACGTCGAAGGATACAAATTCTGCACTGTATTCCGAAGCATATTTCATCGTACATACTATCTAACCCAGTGTTCCCCGACCTTTTTGGACCCACGAACCGGCAAAGTTTCATAAAATTTTCTGCGGACCGGCATATTTCCATAACATTTTCTGAGGACCGGTAGCGTTCCATAAAATTTTTGGAGACCAGCAGAAAAAGTTTAAACTGGAGAAAATTTATTTCAGCACGTGAAAATTATTCTTGAGTGTTATTGAAGGAAGAATCAACTTTTATTTCAAGCAGATAATTTGAACTGCCATCGTCTTTTCAAACTACTGTATCAGATAACAATAACAGACTTCGTTACAACTTATGATGCATTCTATGCTGAAAATCTCCCGCGGACCGGCGACGGTACGCGGACCACGGGTTGTGGAACACTGATCTAATCAATCGAACTCAATAAGTAAACAACTTAACATTTACAAGTAGAGTACCAACATCATTTCAGACAAGTTTACAAAATGTATCTCATTCAAAAAATTTTGATTTCGTTCTTTTTCAGTTTAGAGAATCAACTTTTTACATTTGAACCTTCAACGCCGCTTGCAAAATACACTGTGGTATGGGTACTGTAATTCAAGGACATCGCCGGAGGATATTCGGAACAAAAATCTGTCGTAGCAATGCTAGAAGAGTAAATACTGCACTTCGAACTTCTAAAGCAACTTTGGGTAAGCAACAATTTCATTCATGTGGGATTTTCGGTTATAAATTCTGTAATCAGGGCATTGAATAATCATGGATCATGCATTTCACCTAGTTCGGACAAGCGAAAAACCAGCACGCGGAACGTAACATGAATTCGGCAAGAAGAGAACAGCTAAAAATGGGCCGTCTTGAAAATAATATTTCCGATACTTTGTGAAAAAATGGAAGAAACATTACCCTCAGAAGCCATGGAGGAACATGAAATGAATGAATAAAGTTTTCATTGACACCTCCAATTTTCTATAATATTTTCTAGAGTTATCGAACATTTTCAAGCTTAATTCACTCCAATTAGAAACTGCATTCATCTTTGAAAAACACTAAAAATTTTACTTTTATCGCAGCAATATTCCAAGACTGCACAGTGGATAAACACCACGCATCCATGCGTGATTTCATATGAGGACCTATTTACTGCTAAGTCTCAAAGCTAACCCAATTTCTTAAAAAAAAATTGGGCCAAACCTTCTCAGGCGACACATTCGTAAAATATCACTACTGAACTGTAGTTGGGAATCACACAAGAAATTTTCATTTCTGAAGATGAGAAGATCCAAAATCAAATTTCGTGGGATGCTTCAATACTCGCATAAATTTACACTAGCCGAAAAATGAACTCAAATCAATGAAGCGTACTTCGACATATATGAGAGGATAGAATCGAACTACTGAGCATAAATGACTCTGAGCATTAAGGACTGAACACGTGAAAAACTAGTGACGGATTCTTCTTTTTTTTCGTGAAAGGTGGGAGGAAATCGGACACCTCTCGTGGGTGTAGTTTGATAGTTGGAAATATGGATAGAGAGATAATAATGAGATCTCTTAGAAAAATATAGAACCAAAAGACGCAGTCTTCGAGAAATTCAAGATGAACGGAACAAAGCTAATGACATTGGTGCCTGAAACACGAATCAATTTAAAAAAAACACTCACTGGGAATCGTGCTCCAGCTGAACAGATGCACGCATCACATCTCTCTTGGCAACCGGTCCAATCCTTATGCCGGAATACTGTAAAAACGATCGAACTTTCAGTAGTTGAAGGAAAACAGAAAACCCGAAAAAACAAGCCTTACCGGAATTTCGGAAGACTTCAGGAATTCCAACAAGGCTTCGAGTGAGCCCAGTGTAGAGGCTTGGACGTAGACACCGCGCTCTTGAAGCTTGATGGAACTGAGTACTTTCTTCAATTCTTTTGCTACTTCCTCTTTGCAAACTTCAACCTCGTCAGGTTGATTCGCAACGAGTAAATTCAATCCTGATGGCCAAAAAAGGAAATCGTAAAAATTCGGAAGAAAATATGATCATCAGACCATGACGATTGTAATTAATGAAACTTTCCGGTGACAAAAAGAAAAAAAATTTTATGTGTGAGGCAATTCTAGAAAGAAATTTAAACAATCCCGCAATTCCCGCGAACTACGGATCATCATCACTCACCAGCAATCGCTTTTTCTAGATCTGTGGCACACAATTTCACTCCCTGCGCGGCCTTAACCTCTGCGTGCTCTTTATAAGCATTCTACAAACGATAGGAAAAAAAAACAGTTACTATCAAATTATACGAGAAAGAAGAACTTGAGGCACACCTTCACACGAAGCTCCTTCATCGGCTGAGGCATCAACAGCGAACGGATCTGTGCAACAACGGGGCCTTCTGTACCTGCGACTATGATCGTATCTCCTTTCCGCAAGGTTCCGTTCACCAAGATCACGTCAATTGTGGTTCCCAATCCCGGTAAGGCTTTGACTTCCAAAACTGTTGCCTGTTATTGATATCACACAGGCAACTGTATCATAAATTATTCGATTCAACCCGACTACAATATAAAAAAGTAAAGGCTCAAGAATCCCTGAAGTATTTTCGCGAATACCATTCACGTTTCAGCGACGGGTGAAGCTTGTGTCCAATGTAAAAGCTCGCGATTTTTTCTCTTTCCATTTTTGTCCCATTATAGATTATAGGTGAACCTGGCTAACACGAACCATCCTAAGTCAAAAACATATCCAAGTCGATTTTTTAGTTTGTGTCTGAATTCCCTTACAAGCAATGTCAAATAAAAATCCATCACTTCTGCCCTCAAATCTCTATACTGTACTGTAACTCGAATTTTTTGGAGTCCTTTGGGCTGTTATTCAAAGGAATCCGGAACTGGAAAAGTGATGAAAATATAAATTGATCTTTAAGAAAGTGGCTAATTGGGAAAATACATCCTTGCCTCTAAGTTCAGCATCATAACCATTTGATTACTCAGAGGTTTATGATCAAGAAGATCAAAATTTTTTTTATTTCCAATTTTTACACCCGCCTTCCTTTCGAAGTGTGGGTTTTCCCAACTCAGAAACTCCTCAATTCCAAATTTCTCTTGGGTCCCTCTGAATTCGACTTGAAGCTCAACTGTAAAATGTCTAAATTCGTTACGGATGTGTTGCATTTTGCTCACTTGGGTTAATTAGAATACATTTGACGACGCTATTCCCCCTTTACAGTACTGTACTGTACTATTTTACGGTCGGGTAAAAGATTAAGGCGACACCTGCCCGGAATTTTGGAAGACAAGCTCGGTCGCTTTCGAGAAAAATGACCGAACTTACCTGCAGCTCTTCGGAAAAGGCAATGCGCTTCGCTAGCATTGTCTGCGTCAAATGCACGAGCATGGAAACCAAGTTTCCCATGCCGTCTCCGCAAACAGCGGAAGTGGGTATCATCGAAACATACTTCCGCGGATCAGGATTTTCCCAGAATAAGGCCGCATTCAACCCCTGTAAAAGAGCGTAACAAATGCGCACAAGCTCCGAAAATCAAATTTGTTGCCGCGAAATTGGATTGTGCATCAACTTTTTACCTGCTCAGCTAAACCAAGGATCACTTCTTTCGCTCTTTTCTCGAATTCAAGTCTGGTGTTCGTCGCCTGTCCTTTTATCACGTCTCGCACGTCTTTGTGCTGGTTCGTCTTCCAATCGTAAAGCCTAAAAAACCACATTTTACAAAATTTGAGTAGAACTACATTTTTTTCCTTCCTCCAAAAATTCACGAAAAAGAAAACGACAAACCTATCAATCTTGTTGAGCGCTACAACGAACGGGGTTCCACCCTTCTTTAGCAGATTGATGGATTCAATGGTTTGCGGCTCCAGACCGTGCATGATGTCAACCACTAATACAGCAATATCACACAAGGAAGACCCTCTCGAGCGCAGATTTGAAAAGCTTTCGTGTCCTGGAGTGTCTATGATCAATAGGCCGGGAAGTTTCAGTTTTTTCGGATCGAACTCCAGCACCATCTTGCACTTTTCCTCGATGGCGCTGACGGGAACGTTTGTGGCACCTATTTGCTGCGTAATTCCACCTGCTTCTCCTTCCTGAACATTTGTTCGACGGAGCTTGTCCAGAATTTTTGTTTTCCCGGTGTCAACGTGGCCAAGAACACAGACTACGGGTTGTCGAAGGTGATCCGTCGATCGATTGGCTTCATTTTCTCTCCGACGTTTCTAATGGGAATAAAAAAAAATCAAAGGGAAGATATGAGACCAATTTATTCGCCAATCGAACGCCACTGTAGAAATTTGCGTTTTATACGCCATTTGATCAGCGGAAACAATTGATTTCGGAGACCATGGAAAAATTCACACGCCAGGAACTTATTAAAATGTTTCAGAACTAACCGCTATCCTTGCGATTGCTCGTTCGCGTCTTTTTTCTGCTTCAGTCTTCTTATCATCTTCTTCCGACTCTTCTTCAGAGTCAGACTCTGACTCCGATTCTTCCTCTTCGGAGCTTTTCTCCGATTCCTCTGCAACCACCTCCTGTTTGGCAGGTGGTACTTTGTTTTCGTCATCTGAAGATGGAAGACTGTCAGATGGAAACGTCGCACTCGTCAAGAAAAGAATCTTACCAGGAACAACTTGTTCCCAGGAGTCCTTCACATCGTCTTCACTGTCCTGGTCCCATGACTCTTTAACCTCCTCCTTTTCGACAGGCTTAGTATCGATGGGAGACTCGATCAATGTCTCTTCGACGGGTTCCGCAGGAGGTGCTTTCACAACTTCTTCGATCTGCTTCGCAATTTTTTTCGGGGACTTCGCGGTTACTTCCTCGACCTTGTCCTCCGTCTCCTCATCTATTGATTGCATATAAACTAGGATGAATTTTAACAACTAGGCGGAATCATGTCAAAGCAACCGAGAACGCGAGAAGCAAATTGAAAAAGCAAGGCTTAAGCGAGTTTGGCATGTGGCTGTTTCTATGCATGTACGCTACCCAATTTGTTAAAGGTGTAAGCAGTATGCAATGTGAGCTCGTCTTGAAAGAAAACTTTTCTCATGATCAAGCAGCAAAAGTCCTGCTTAACGAATAAAAACTAATTTCTGGCGAATAAAATTTCAGATAAATATGGCACAGAGACGAAGTATCACGCAGGAAACGTTTCGCACAATTTTGGAGCAATAGGAATATGTTGGCGACCCCTTACGTTCCTAGTCTTCTGACTTTCGATATGTAATGGTAATGTCGTATTCCTTCAATAATGTATAACAAATAGTTACGGTAAAATGTTATTTCTATAGACAAAGTATTTCCATTTACTTTAATTGCTACTGTCACTTGGAAATGTAAAAAAAAATTGTTGCTCATACAGAACTGTATTCTTGCGAATCGCACGAATATGCGGATGTAAGCACACTCCCCAGTTTTTTGAGCTTCTACCATTGGAAAAGGTTGCTTATATTTGCATAAATTAGGTAATGATCGTGAACAATGAGGAAACAGTTTAAGTGAGTGCTTTGGTTCAAAATCCCGTTTGTGTAAAACGGTGCTTTTCGGAGAATATGTACTTCGGGGATAACTGGAACTGGATTTTTCAACATTAATCGCGTATCTCTTGGTCACTGGGAAGGTCAAGTGTACTGAAAACCTCAATAACAAAGGTAGGTCGTATGATCGCATGATTTTAAATTATGTAAGTTAGCCAGTTCGGTTATCGATAATTTTAAAGCAGCAACCAGCATTTTCAACACTTGCTCATTTGTGACATCATGACGGAATTGAGAATATTGAAAGAGTTCGAATACTGCAATCACGGTTCAGCAAAAACGGAATTCATAATCACCATCTGGTCTCTCGTCTTTCGAAAGGGCCGGAATCTGTGCACCTTGAGCCTTTAGGCCTTCCAGCATTGCTTGTGCTCTCGCTCGTTGTTCCTTCTGTTTAGCAGTTAAATAAGTACCTTGTTTCTTCGCTCTTTCGATGCGTTCTTTTTTCTTTTGCTTCTCCCGTTCTTTCCTCTCCTTCTCTAGACGAATCTTTTTTCGAGAGATTCGACATGAGTCCTCGCACAAGTGGAAAGGATATTTTCGTTCCAAAATTTACCTTTTCGAGCCTTAAATTTTCCCGCTCTTCTTCCAAGCGGATTCTCTCTTCCTCTGCCTTCTCCTGGGCTTCTTCCTCTTCCTTCATTCTTTTAACGGCTTCCTGCATTGCAAGTAGGGCTTTCTTCGACGGACCCTTCTTACCCTTATCATCTTCTTCCTTCTTTATAGCACCTTTCTTTTTCGATTTCTTCCCGTCCTTCTTATCATCCTTTTCTTCGTCATCCACGACTTCTTCGGCTGGCTTCGAAACCGGTTCTTGAATGCTTTCAGGAAGCTTTTCTTCCTTTTTGGTGGCCTGCGATTTTTTCTCTGCCTGCGATAGAAATTGACGGCTTAAGGTACAACCGGAGAGGAAAATAATGTCTACACGCTGCTTCAAATTGTTCAATGTTTGAATTTATGCACAAATGTTGCCCTTCAATACCAAGATAATGAAAAGCAAGTACAGTTCTGTACTGTACTGTACCTTCTGCTTTTCTTCCAACTTTTTCAAGCGTTCTCTTTCCTTCTTCTCTTGACGCTTTTGCGCGGCTGACTTCACGACGGTTTCTTCAGCAGCTTCATCATCCCGTTTCTCTTCTGCGTCTGCTACGATGGTGGCAGGTTCTTCTAAATCCTCTTTCTGACCTTTCTTCTTCTTTTTCCGTCGCTCTTTCCTCGATTCTCCTTCAGAGTCATCAGATGCCGCGACTACAACAACAGCTTCTTTGCTTTCAAGGTCTACTTGGGGAACCGCGGCATCATCTGCATCTGCTTCTTCTTCCTCTTCGCCTTTCTTTTTCTTGGCTTTCTTCTTCTTCTTCGATTCCTTCTCTTTAATCTCAATACCGAATTCCGCAAGAACTTCGTCCAGGTCTTCTTCTTTCTTAGATTGCTTTCCTTTTTTGCCTTTCTTCGCGGGTTCAATAATTTTAGTAGATTTTGTGACTTCGGGAGACGGAGAACGCTGTGGCTTTTGAATATCCTCGTTGCTTCCGTCGTCGTCCACGTCAACATCGGAGTCCATACTCGTGAGCATGGAAAACGCAGACCTAGCAGCCGGCGCTTTCTTCTGCGACGGTTTCGGCGGTGGTTTAACGTCGGCGTCGTCGTCAATTTTCACCGACTGCATCTTTGATGACAGCTGGTCAGCATCGGAGTCGTCATCAGTGTCATCGTGCTTTTTCTTGCCTTTTTTCTACAAATGCATAATTTTTACTTGATCGCAATGCTAGCGAAATTTGTTCTATTATAGGAAATATATTTTAAAATCCTGTTGCGAGTACTTTTTTTTACGGTTGAACAACGTGATCTCATTTGGAGAAATGAAAAGAATTAACGACATCAACTTGAATCTTCAAAAAAAAAATTCATGTCCAACAATCCAGGACCAAGAACAGAGACTTGAATTATAAAAATTGATCGAAGTGATGATTAAAAACAGAAAAACAACTGTCAAAATTCTCCAATCAACGTTTTTTAAAGATTAGAATTCGCTCGTAGACCTTACAAATCGGATAAAAAAATAACGGCAGAAATACATTATAAAATCCATACGGAAGGAAAGTCGTACCTTTTTCTTCTCCTTCTTGGCAACAGATGTGGAATCAACTGGTTCCACCTCTGGTTCACTGCCACTTTCTACGTCATCTTTAGCCTTCTTCCCTTTTTTCTTCTTTTCCCCTTTTTTCGTAGCCACTGGTGTAGGCTCGGCATTCGTCACCGACTCGTCGTCGTCGCTGAAGTGAGTTGAAAAAATTGAAAGTTTTAATATTTCAACTAAGTTTGTCGGAAATGAGCAACGACGAAATATATAATTTTACATACTTCAACTACAGCTCACGTGTTCATGAGAACAATTCAGCACAAAAAAAAGGTCAACCATGGAGTCATACGACATCCCTGAGACAACTCTGATTTATCTGAAATCGAAATTCGAGTAGAAAGGTTTTTCTGAGACTGACCTGACGTCTCCCCGCCGTCCCTTCTTTGGTTTTCCCATGATTTACTCCGCAGAATTCTCCAAACGGTGTTTTCGCTAAAACCTTTACTCTTGCAACTTGAAAAGCACATGAAATTTCGATACGAAGAAAACTTCTGCTGTCTCCGAGCGAATTCGGCTTCCACTCCACGAGCGAAGGATGAACCAGAACAGCAATTTTAAAATAACCAAAATTTAGCCTAGCTTTCAATTTATCACAGCGAAATGGTCACGTACTTCAGTTTCGACACCTAAAATTCAAGAAAAAAGTCATGAAATAGTGAAACGCATTCACTGGGGGAAAGACAACAGATGCCTCTACATACGATCTGCACTTGGTCTCAGGAAGAATCATTAGCGAGTTTTTCCGAATCAGAAGCATTGATGGAAAAATCTTCGATCGCAAATCACGGGACAAGGGAAAAAATCAAGCCATCTATTCCAGTCGAAACGAAGACATATCAGCAGAGAATACAGCGCTTACGGACAGGATCATCACAACTCTGAAGCATCGGGTTGAAATCTGATCTTGACTAAACAATCAGACCTTGGGTAGGCATCGAAATGGGATAACCTAAAAACAATGCAAAAAGCTGAACCGATTAGTCGCCATGAGGACCCCGATATTAGCATGAATCGAACCAAGAAAAAACATTTGTTTTGATTGTGCTTGCCGAGCAGCAATACATAATCATAGTAGGCAACTACACGCGAACGTTCCAAGGCGAACATCGACGCGTACGTCGTGCACAGTAGCAGAAAATCCTCCAAAGAAGGAAACTTTGTTTCCCACAAACAAACACTGATTTGAACCGCGAAAAATTCAAAAAATGATTACTCATTTCCGAAATAAACTTATATTACAAGTAGAACTAATTCAATGAGAACGTCCGTTCTCACAGTTGCCACATGAATACATTTCATGAAATCAATACGACGATCACTTTGAAATAGAAAAAAAACGTAAAAACTAAGAGCTTCAGCGGAAGGACAAAAATGCTTCCACTTGCAAAGAAAATGTCACTGCTCTCGATGCATTTCCGCCGTAAAATGGAGAAAAAATAAGTTCCTTCAAAAGTCTCCATTATCGCGGTCACGGGAAGCCAGCCGTTCTTCAGCTCGTGCCAAATTCGTAAAAAAATGCATGAGCTTTTTTACTTTCTTTGCTTGTACTTTTCATCACATCCAACACACATAACTAGATTTATAAATCCTCCTCATGTCCCCCGACACATTTTTCGTTCATCAGGAACGCGTAATTATTTTTAAGCGATGCGAAGAAAAACATCGCATAGAAATCATAATTATGCTGGACATATTTGCACTTAGCACCTTAACGATTCAAATCCACCGAACGTTCAATTAATTCATAGTACAATATTAGGGGAGAATCCAATTTCAAGATAAAGTAATGTCTTTGATGACTTATACAGTATAACAATCGAAGAACAGGTGGACGAAGGTTGGTCAAATGCTTCAAAAACCTTCATATTGACAGGACTGATGATTATTTCAAGGTTCGGGTGAACGAGAAATGAATTTCACGATCGTTTTAGTCGAATTTTCTTTTACGCTGCTTCAATGCGATCCATAAATTGGACTGGAAATCTAGGCTTATTTCCCGAACGGAATATAAAAAAAAAACAGCTCATGCTTTTTCAAACGGCTTGGCGCACGAGGAGAGAAGGCAGCCCCCCCCCCCAAAAAAAATCATCCGAATTTCAACCTCACTCAATCAGTCCTTCAGAATGTCCGGTAAGCTCGCGAACGCGCAGGCACCCAGCCCCACAGTTGCCATTGTCTTCAGCAACTGATTCGCATGACACACGGACACCTCCAGGGACGGATTCGGAGGCAAGTTCAGGCGCTCCATGATGGCGGAATTCAGAGCTCGTCCAACAGGCTCTCGCTCGTTTCGCTCCAACATGTACTTCAACGGCGACCGCTTTGGGTCGGAATAGGCAAGCAAGCTACATGCGTCCTCCAGCATCCGTTTGTTGGCAGCATTGTGCCCAAACTCGGCTCGCATCCGCATGCTCAGCGACTTGAGCTCGCGGCCAAAGGCAAGGGTCTTGTTGAGTGCTTCCAGCTCCGGGGTCATGATATGAGTTTCTCCATTTGAAATGCCGTTGCAGTGTGAGTTTGAGGAAGAGCACGATGAGGAGGAGCCGCCTGAAGAGGATGAGCAGTCCATCATTTCAACGTCGTTGTCCGGAACCAAAGGCACGTCTGGTTTGGATTTCTGTTTGCTGCTTTTTCCGGTCGAAGTTGTCGGTTTCGGGTAGCAGCTCGTTGACGGGCCAGGGTCATTATTTATCACTAGAACAGTCACACCAAGAAGTTACAGCGAATGTGAAAATACCTTTCTTTACCAAGGATAATGCTCATGCATTCTTGGCACAAGCACTAAAAATAGAATAGAACACGTTTAATGTCACGGCTTTGACCTAAACTGCTGAATGTTATCCTGCACATAGAAACAAGTCTCATAAGGAAATGGACCATCCGAATAAAATAAATCTGGTTAAAGGAATGAAAAAAAAAAACTAGGAAGTGTGCGGTCTTCAGAAAGGGCATCGAGAAATGTGACAATACATTTCGAACCTTCGTAAAACACATTATAATGACGAATTTCGTCACGGAATGGAATTACATAGGAATCTGACCTTTCCAGAAAAACAACCGGTTGACTTCTTTCTAGTACAGTAATTCATGAAAAGAGTAATAAAAAAAACGAAATACAGTAAAATGTTACAGAGACCAGTCATTAATTGCGATCAACACGATGAATTAAAAACTAAGAACAAGATAAGCAACATAAAATTGGCGAAGTATGTAGAAAGTAATTCATCTAAAAAAGACTAGCTGGTGATGCATGATGATAGAACACCAGCTTTTAACGTGGGGATACAGTTAATCAAATGCATATAGAACTAATTCCCTAATGATCAGGGTTCTACTGTACCTCATTTATAAAAAATTTTATGTTCCGCAGTTTTTCAACTTCCAGCAATTCTCGGACCTTGTTAGCTTATTCATCGATCACCACTGATTTGGATAAACTGTCATCCAAGATTCTAAAATATCGTAGCACACCAAAGAGGATGACTCTTCAGTACACGGCAAATAAAAAAAATAAATCACGAAGTTCGTAACGAATTCATCAGGAACCTGACCTGAACATAATATACTGTACTGTACCAAGCGTGACATGATTAAAAGTCATCGGAACAAATGTTTCAAGAAATTAAACGAGAAGATATATACGAAGGAAGGATCGCACAAGTAACTTCGCAAGAAAATCGAAAATGTAAGTTTCACTCACCAAAGTCAGCGTCATGATCACAGCCGGCTATCATCTCCACAAATTGTCGAACCTTGAGCATGAACATGAGATCCGGCTTCAGATCTAGCAACGCTGGATACAGCTTTCCCGTTAGCTCAATCGCGTGACCAATTTGACCATTCATCACCAACTGCTGTATTCTCTGTCTATTCTTCACCGAGGCGATCTCCTCTTTGAACGGCTGGCCGGTGGCTCGAGCAAACGCTTCCGCCGACTGCACATACCCGTGATGCATAAGGTACATCAACACCATTTTCTGCAACATCGCATTCCACTGGCCCCTGTCATTATCAATGGGCCACTTCCGCACGGTTTCATGCGTTTTCGCCCGCAATCCCAGCATTGCATCTTCGATATCGTACTGAAACGGTTCCTGTCCAAAATTGGCAGCTAAAACTTCGCCTGGAGTTTGCAATCCGACAGTCGGATACAAATAAGGTGGCAAATCTTTGAAGGCTGTTCCCAAATTGATTCCGTTTTTCGTGTAGAAACACGTTTTGTCAACCAAGTTTACACCGCAACCGATCACGTCTCCAGTTGTGAAAACAGGTCCATAGGCTTTCCCCGTTCCAGAAGAACAAAACGAATGCCCGTCATCTCCATGGTATCCATAAGAAAGTTTATCCCAGCCTGAAACGAAAAAAAGTTCATTCCAACAGGCTTCATTCAAGTTTTTGGAAACGCTTATTTCATGACATAAAAAAAATTCTAGCGACAATCGAATCGCTTCTATATGAGCACTAAACATGCAAGGTTACATCAATTCTCCTGGCATCTTAACTTTGTCAGGGGGTTTTGACACACAACAATTCTTAACCAGGGCTCGAAATCATGGGGCAATCTTGATCGAGTTCCAATTCAAATCTCAACACGGGAATAATTTATTGTTCAGCAGAACATCTTCAACCAGCGTTCCTCAATCTTCAACCAACCTTTTTGGGCCGGCGGACCGGCGATGTTTCTTAAATTTTTGTAGACCAGTTGATTTTTTAAAATAACTGCCATGAAATCCTCCAACCAAAACTTGTATGGCAAACATTGAGTCAAGAACCAATGAAGCAGCGACAGGGGAAAATCTTCAAAAAATTAGAAAGCTGGGCTTTAAGAAAGATGTCTTATGATGGATACTTGAATTAATTCATTGCAGCAGGTAAAAAATTTGTCTGAAATGTTATTAGGAGAAAACTGAATTTTTTTAAATCATATACGAGGGTTCTAACAAAAGTTCTCGGAGTCAACCACAAGCCATCACCGGAGATGGATGAACATTTTTTTATTGGATTCCTCATCCTTTTTTAAGCTAGAACCAATTTTTTTGTCATCCCTAGACAAAAAATGGAAACTGGGAAAAAAATTGAATAAGTTTTTTCTGGTGCTGTGCCCATCCATTCCAACAGAAGTTCTTGGAATGAAAATGATTAAAAACTTTTGGGTCAAAAAAATTTTNGATGATTTTGACCTCGAAATAATAAAGACCACAAGCAGGCGGGATCGGGTGGTCCGCACGGACACTCGCAGCGTCCATGTGGTCTTTGCCGTGACCCTTGTACTGCACGGTGAGGTTGTCATCAGACAAGCCTATGTAGAGAAATTTGTCTTTGGCGTTCCATTGTGTCGGCAATTGCGACAAAGGATCTACCATCGGATACAGCTTTCGCAGCCGCGACTCCAGCGGTGATCCGGCACCGTTTGTGTCATTCGTGCCGTCCATCACGCCCGCAAGCTGCATGCATAAACTATGTCCACGCGACTCGATTGAACGCAAAAGATCTCCCCATCGTCAGTTTGCTTTTCTTCGCAGTATCCAAAACCTTACTACCTTCCTTTCACGTCACTCAAATCAAACTACAATTCGATCATCCGATGATTATCGACGACACAATCCAAGTATATCAAAGAAACATCGCGTTTCTTACGAGGAATTCTTCTAGAAATGATAACAACGGAAAGCGTTATACACTTGTTCGCCTTCGATGATCACGTCAAAAGAGAACGCCTTGAATAAAAAATTCCTTCGACACCAATTATGTTTCTCATTTCCAGCAAAACTAGCAAATCCACACTCCTTCACTACCGCACGGTTTCATGCGTTTTCGACCGCAATCCCAGCATTGCATCTTCGATATCGTACTGAAATGGTTCCTGTCCAAAATTGGCAGCTAAAACTTCGCCAGGAGCTTGCAATCCGACAGTCGGATACAAATAAGGTGGCAAATCTTTGAAGGCTGTTCCCAAATTGATTCCGTTTTTCGTGTAGAAGCACGTTTTTTCAACCAAGAAATGTGGCGTTGGCTAGTGCAGAGGTCAACACTTTTGTCCAGGTATCCGAAAGGGGCAAGGTCTTCTTGTTTTGCTTACGGGCAGTAGAGGTACCATAGGTATTCTTTCAAATAGGGTCGGACTTTAGAAAAAAAGTTCATTCCAACAAGCTTCATTCAAGTTTTTGGAAACGCTTATTTCATGACATAAAAAAAAATTCTAGCGACAATCGAATCGCTTCTATATGAGCACTACACATGCAAGGTTACATCAATTCTCCCGGCATCTTAACTTGGTCAGGGGGTTTTGACACACAACAATCCTTAACCAGGGCTCGAAATCATGGGGCAATCTTGATCGAGTTCCAATTCAAATCTCAACACGGGAATAATTTATTGTTCAGCAGAACATCTACAACCAGCGTTCCTCAATCTTTAACCAACCTTTTTGGGCCGGCGGACCGGCGATGTTTCTTAAAATTTTGTAGACCATTTGATTTTTTAAAATACCTGCCATGAAATCCTCCAACCAAAACTTGTATGGCAAACATTGAGTCAAGAACCAATGAAGCAGCGACAGGGGAAAATCTTCAAAAAATTAGAAAGCTTGGCTTTAAGAAAGATGTCTTATGATGGATACTTAAATTAATTCATTGCAGCAGGTAAAAAATTTGTCTGAAGTGTTATTAGGAGAAAACTGAATTTTTTTAAATCATATAATTTCAACTGCTACTGTCTCTTTAAAATTCCGGATGCAGATAACCTACTTCATTACTACTTTTGATAAATTTATTGCGCTGAAGAAAATGTCCCGCGGACCAGCAAGAAACTTCTGCAAACCGGCACCGGTCCACAGAACCACCGTCTTCAACATTTTCTCTCTTTCAGAAAATTATGCACAAAAAACTTACCTGGCAAACGGTTCAACGACACGGTTTCCGCAGATAATCCAATCCCAAAATATCCATCCCTGCCTTTGCTGATGATTTTGACCTCGAAATAGTAAAGACCACAAGCAGGCGGGATCGGGTGGTCCGCACGGACACTCGCAGCGCCCATGTGGTCTTCGCTGTGACCCGTGTGCTGCACGGTGAGGTTGTCATCAGACAAGCCAATGTAGAGAAATTTGTCTTTGGCGTTCCACTGTGTCGGCAATTGCGTCAAAGGATCTACCATCGGATACAGCTTTCGCAGCCGCGACTCCAGCGGTGATCCGGCACCGTTTGTGTCATTCGTGCCGTCCATCACGCCCGCAAGCTGCATGCATAAACTATGTCCACGCGACTCGATTGAACGCAAAAGATCTTCCGATCGTCAGTTTGCTTTTCTTCGCAGTATCCAAAACCTTACTACCTTCCTTTCACGTCACTCAAATCNGTCTTTGGCGTTCCATTGTGTCGGCAATTGCGTCAAAGGATCTACCATCGGATACAGCTTTCGCAGCCGCGACTCCAGCGGTGATCCGGCACCGTTTGTGTCATTCGTGCCGTCCATCACGCCCGCAAGCTGCATGCATAAACTATGTCCACGCGACTCGATTGAACGCAAAAGATCTTCCGATCGTCAGTTTGCTTTTCTTCGCAGTATCCAAAACCTTACTACCTTCCTTTCACGTCACTCAAATCGAACTACAATTCTATAATCCGATGCTTATCGACGAGAAAATCCAAGTATATCAAAGTAACATCGCGTTTCTTACGAGGAATTCTTCTAGAAATAATAACAACGGAAAGCGTTATACACTTGTTCGCCTTCGATGGTCACGTCAAAACAGAACGCCTTGAATAAAAAATTCCTTCGACACCAATTATGTTTCTCATTTCCTGCAAAACTAGCAAAACCACACTCCTTCACGCGCCGCGATTTCAATTTTTTGAGAAATTCTTGAGAAAATTAGAGGCAACAGCAAGCTGATCCAAACCGCAAATACAGCACGAAAAAAATCTACGGTTCAGAAAAAAAGAGACGCATTTCGATTGGTTGAACAAGCAAGGTGGTATCACTTCTTCTTTGATGCTTCCCGAGGGCTCCAGTGTAAAGCCATCGAATCAATTCGTAAACAACGTTTGCTCAAACTCTTTTGATGAGCTTGGACGATTTCCGGGTTCAACACGATCACATGCTGACCCTTATCGTAGTGGAGAATATTCAGATACTGAAGCGTTGAGATGACGTCTTCTTTCTTCATGGCTGTCATCTCCGACAAATCGCTGCAGAAGTTTTCCTTAAGAATAATATATCAGTTAAAACGGTAAATTAATTAATTTGGAACTTACTTGATTGTAATTTGAGCTCGATCACTTCCTTCGACTGGTTTCAGATTCGAGAGAATATCCAGTAAAACCTGAGACCAAAAACTTCGGTAGGAGAGCAAACCCAAATCTGATAGAGGTTTCTCTGGGCTTCCGGTTTTCCCTTCAACTTTGCTCAGTTCGTAACTGAACTCTATCAAAAGCTTGCCGTAACCCTTTTTCTGATACGGCGGAAGCGTAAGAATGCATGCCACATTGTAATCTTCACTAGACTCTTTCTCCTTCGAGAAATAGCCGACGATGTGAAAGCCATATTCGTCATATTCGGTTAATACGTAGAATAGGAAAGGGTCGGTATCATAGTATAAGGTTTTGTGATCCAAAAACAATTTCGCTAACAAGCAGAGATTTTGGGCGTAATTCTTGTTCTTCCTCCCGTCGATCTCAAAGAAGGACACGGATCCCTTGCGATAAATTTCGTTTCCCGGCGGATAACGCAATCCACACTTCGTCAAATGCCGTTTGAGACAATTAAACGACTTCATGTACTTCAGACAGAACTCGCAAAGGATCAAACACGAAAGATTGATCAGCTCCTGAGGGTATGGTGAGAAATACCACGGTTTTATGCGGTACCGCCCGAGCTGAATCATCTGAATGTTTTTCATTCGAGTTATTATGTTATCGCTCGGCGTTGAAACCATGCTCCCAGTTTGTCGCGGACCGGAGACATTATTGACGATGCTGCCGTCAACGGAATCCTCGTCAATGACGCTGACACTAGGAGGAACCTGAGATTTTCTCTTCCGAGCTTGTTTCCGCTGCAGGGCTGCAGCTAAGGAATTGCACGTCACGGGAGACTCGGATCCGCCCAAAATTGGAGAACCAGGGCGGGTGCAAGATACTGTGTTGGCGCCAGTCGCGGTTGAAACGCCGTCTCGGCCTTTGTCTTCCTTCTTCATAGGCCACTGCACTTTACGTGTGTCCAGCCGATGTTCGACTACCCATTCGTCCAGTCGTTTGTTGTCTGGAATAAGGAAGAATTATTTCAATTAGATGAAGTTTTGTTTTCCTTCTGAATTTCGGTATCGACGGTCACAAAAACTGCACAATGCATTCAATTCGAATGAAACTTACAATCAATGTAGTGAACGTAGAAATAAAGCTTTCCATCTTGCTCTTTCCTGCTGATGACTTCGGCCAGAGCTGTGAAACACATCGCACATCATTATACAGTGCTAACGATCAACGACCGCAAAAATCTTCAAGAATGACACGCTTTGGTTAATCAACTTAATTAAATCATCACTAAAGTGAAAATGAATGCGAATTTGTCGACTGTCACGGCGAATTTTACATTTCTCATCATGCAGTGTGCTGAAGAGTCCATACCAACAGTCACAAACGTAAGAAAAAGAAAGCATTTTTTTGACTCCCTCAGTGCTCTTCAACTTGAGCCAGACCAGAGGCTGTGCAGACTTCGAACAATCGTTACACTGCTTTTTTCATCGCAGAGTTTGGAAAAATTTGGAAAATTGTAATAAAACATGATGTAAAAGAACGAAACTTTAAAAGAATCCAGATCACTCGGCAAAATTCCAGAATCTTGTCAAAATGTTCTAAAAAATGAATGCCAAAATATTGGCAAAACTTACGCCAATCACTCGAGTTTGACATCTGGACAGACAATCGGCAACCTTCAACAATTGAACCCTAGAAGAATACGGAATCCAAAAGTCCATATTAGCAACCAAGAAGTATCCACATTCATATTTTTGTTTATTATTTCTTCCAGAAATATCCGTGAATTTCTTTCTCACGCCAATATATGAATTTACGAAACGAACATCTTTGTAATTCGTAACTCACCACTGAATCACATAATCCCTCCATGAACCCTTCGTCATTGCGCTCATCATGAAGTTTGAGTAAAGAGCCATTTTTCGAATCCGTTGACAACATTGTTCGAAAAAACCAACTTCACTTTTAAAATCTGAAAGGAGTTCCAATAACGACACATGAAACAAATCATCAAGTTCAAACGATGAATCAATAGTCCAATAGTCATCGAAAGATTTGCACCAAACCACTTCTTTTCCCCTTCCGACTAGTCAGCGAAAATCGAACAACCTCAACAAGCCTCTCTGAACGAAAGAAAATTGAAAACATTCACAGCTTTGAAAAAAAGCAAAGAACGAGAAAATCAAAGTAACAACGGAATGACACGATTTAAACGCATTATTCAGCTATTACAGCGATTCAAACACGTGATTCCTCATCCGAGGAAATGGATTCGAGCTGTAAAGGTCTTCCGTGTTGTGAAGCTGCCACTCCAAGGTTCTCTTCATCTGAAGAAACGGCCTCCATATCTTCACCAGGAGGTAACGGGGGCTTGGCACATTTTGAACTTAAAATTGCACTTTTCACAATTAATTCGTCATCGTCGGAACTCAAGGGTTCTTCGTGAGAACGCAAAGCTCGTATTGAGTTTGGTGGCACTTGACGAGGTTTCTTTTCCTGCAGGATAAACGAGAATTCAAGTGGATGAACCAAATTCATGAAGTTTGCATACCACACGAGAGCGACCAATGAAAGTAGGCATATATAGTAGCTGCAGACTTGTAGCAGTTACAATGATATCAAGACATGTCCCTGCGTGTGCAGGGGTTGAATAGTTTGTAGATTGTTCCAACAAAAAAAACATAATACAGTACATGGATTTCATCTTAATCTTTGTGCTTAAATTTTGAACCCTCAAAAGGAAATCCCACTTTTGCCTACCCAGGTATATTTTCAACCCAGGAAGATAGTTCGAAGTTCACAGCAAAAATTACTGTCACTTGTACTAGAAAACGTTTCTAGATTACCTACAAAAATTAAACACTTGCAAATAAAATTAGAGAAGAGCTTTTCAGAAAGGCACTGATACACTTTTGCGAGAAAATGTTCTACAGTACTGTATCGGGAAAGCCCGGATGAAACATTTCACGTGGTGTCAAAGTTTCTGAATGACCCTCGTTCATCTTACATTGCACTACATTCTTTGCATTTCAATTTGGTACGGCATCAGAACACATTCCATTCCGAAACTTCGAACGTCCTATCCGCAGAATTTACCAGGGAAAAACTGATCTTAACTCCTCACAGCTAAGATGCCCGTTCGTCGCGCAGCTACAAATCCAAAATGCGAGCACCGTTTTTCTCTCACGCCAAATTCGACATTCAGTCAGACAAAGCGACAGGATTTACCTCCAGTGGTTTTGGCGAACCGGAGAACTTTCCATTGGCATCAAAACTCCGTTTGTACGATTTCTCAGCCTCTTTGTTTATTGTACTTCTGTCCACTTCAGCTTCATGATCCTTTCATTAAAACAAGATCAGTTATAAGTCAAACTTACACGAAGACAACTCACTTCTGATTTGACGGAAATTCCATCCACCTCCAACCGCATGGCAAGGGCGATGAACTCCTCAACAGCGCTCACATCCACGTCAACCTCGCCGACATAAATGTACTTGATTAAGGCATTAACTGCAGCGTCAGATGCATCCAAAACTGCAACAGTTCGTTGCTGACTATGCTGGGTGTGTAAACTCCGGAAAAACTTGCTTCTCAGACACATCACCAATGAATGAACCGGATACGAAGACGAATTTGACACAACGACCATGTCCGTCATTTCACTGGAATTTCGCAAATTCCATAACGCGAGCTCAGCACTCTGTCCGACCTCATTTCTGAACGAAGCACTTTCACCCATTGTCAAATGCGGAATGTTCTGTACCTCTGAGTATACGGCGATTAACTGTCAAGGCGATCATCATAATCCATTTATTACGATAGAAATCGCATCAGTCATTCTAAAATCAATTGATGATCAAGTGGGAAGTAATTCGGAATGGGGATAAGAACGATTATTTCTTACGTTTCATAGTTCATTTTTTTTTGCAGTGGAAAGAGCCGCTAGACACTAGCTTTAAAAATACGATGCCCGAACGGAAAAAAATTTAATTCAGTAAAGATCCCTCCCTCTCTCTTCCGAATACGACAGAAAAACTTGGAATAAAAACAAAATCAAAGGTCCCGATCACAGCTGTTTCCAAAGGGATATCGCAGCTCCTTCTCCACAGCTGAACACACAAGATAGCAGCAACACCGTCCTGATATTAAGGAAGTTCTACGTATTCAATATCCGCAGCTTTCTCGGCTTCCGAAGCTCTGTGAGCGCGGGAATGGGCGATAAAACTAGCTACATCTTTCTCAGTTTTCAAATATTCGACAAACTGATGAACTGTGACAGCACATAGACGCTCATGTTCCTCTTCCATCCGAAGAAGCTTTTCGCCATGACTCAATCTCTTGCGTTTTCGCTTCTTTCCGATTGGACTACTATTGCACGAAATATTTTTCTGTAGATGCGCGCGGAGTTTGAAGTACCACTCATGTTTCTGACCAATTCTCACGGATTCACCAACCGGATTCATGCTCTGGAATGCGTAAATTCGGTAAGCTTCACAAACTGAAGACAAATTTCGTAAACAACAGAGTTTGAATTCCGAAAAAAAAATCCAACATTCGGTCTGCTCTTTGAACATCCGAGATCACACTCAACGCAAAAATACAACACAAGGAACAAAACATTCGCGAAAACGCGGTCAATGGTATTAACCAAACGGAAAACATAGGTAATACCCCCAACAAAGACAAAGCAATTTGCCACAACATCACGGCATCGCGAAAAAAATATGGTGAAAAAAAGCAAGGCGAACATGCATCATCAATCATAATAATTACGCACACGGAATGAATAAATATCTCAAAAGGCGGCGAGAATAGGCGAACATCGGGCTCCCGTGCGAGACAAAGAGGTCGTCAGTTCGGTTGCTTTGAAATAATAAAAAACAAGATTCCCAAAAACCATTCCAGTAACAGCAGGTGATCACAAGCGAAATCTTGTTTTAATGAATCTCCCGACGTTCGTCTGTCTTACTTGAATAAAAAGCTGAAAAAGAAAGAAGAATCCGTGGGATTACCAGCGACATCTTTATTTTTCCCCGGCGCTGCTTACCTGTATGGATAACCACCAGCTTTAGACCTAAAAATGGACAAAAGTAAAGAGAAGAAGAAGGCCACTAAGGCTAGCCCAATAATTGCCATGATCCGTCGCTTGCCGACATCACCAGCCCCTGTTTTTGAATTTGCTGCTTCAGTTAGCAAAATCATTCCGACTACAATCGCCCCATCTACGAAAAGAAGAAACCAATGAATGGTTAGCAATACACAATCGAAATGTACCAATAATTAGGATCAACGAGCAGTATACGCACAAGCTAAGGAAACAGAAGCATTCGAACGGTTACATTAGAAAACCCGTACTCATTACATTCGACAAGGGTAAGAACCCCTTTTCGTTCGGATGTCACATTGGTTGCGGTTTCTTCTATGATTTAAGCTTAACATATTAAGAGACTAAGAAATGGGGTCGAATTCATGCGTACTGCAGGTGGACTCCCTTCATAGAAATATACTCACAAGACTTCAGAAAAAATTCGCCACGTTACTGCGACACTAAATTGACCGAATTCAGATAACTTAAGTAAGTTACTTACAGTAAAAGTAAAAAAATTCAGCAAAAAACATCGGAATACGTACGTACTGTACTACATTACCATAAATTAATAAAAGTGCTTGTAATTCGCTAATATTGATAGAAAATGTAAACTGGCCCAATTTAAGAAATACTGCGTCTATTAACTTATCTTTTCTTAGCAATTGAAAATAAATCGCACGCGTTTTTCGTCCTCTACCGCGGTTTCGTCATGATATACTCACTGATGATTGCTATGATGTATGTCTCAACAACGAACTGTCCTTGAGACGATCCATGGATGTAAGCCACCCCTCCTTGTTGAGTCTTATGTAAGAATGGTGGGTTTCGAATATGGTTCCACATCTGTCCACTGGTCATCGCAAAAACAAAGCTCTGAAAAAAACGTCAGTAATTCAGCCAAAGGATTTTTGAGGGATGAAGTGCGAAGTTCGTTTGACATAAAGAAACTTACAAGCGCCAGAACAGCCCACATTACCCGGTTGTACAAGAAATCCAAGTTATTTCGGCGCAGGTACAGAAGTCCTCCTATCAAGACAATGAGCGTCACCAGCCCAATGGTTCCGGAATAGTTTGGTGGACGGAAAACTCGGATCTTATGAAAAAAATCCCGGGAAGAAACTAAATTTAGTACAGAAAGAAATAATTCCTGAAAAACGTAAAATGTTTGCTCACATGGACATCTGTTCTTTCGGCAATCCATTTCGCAATGGCCTCAGCACTAATGCCGTGCCGTTGAATGTCCATGATATCTACCTTCTTCGGCTTCCCTTTCGCCGGAAAGTGCATGAAGGTTGGCGCTGAATTCATTTTCAACTGTAACGAATCGGGATGTTCATTAAATATTATTTGAAAATTATTGCTCGTTTCCGACAGAATTAACTTAACACAGATGGACTTTCTGCAACGAAATTCAGAGGACCAGACAAAAATTCGTTTTAGAGAACCTTTGTACTTAGGATGGATTGAGACGCCACCACAGAGAAAAAATCATTGCAGACAAGATCGTTGTAGAAAGAGTCTAACTGTACAATTTTTAAAGAAATTTGGCTTCAAACAACGTCCTACAAACGTCATTGTTTCGAGTGGAATTGTAAGGATTTGAAACAATACACAGAGGTTGTTATCAAAAACATGCACGATTACTCACACTTGTGAAGATGTCCGCGCCCTCATCGAAATCCACAACCCCGAAGAACATTTTGTTGGAGAAAAGTTGCGAATAGCGGTACGAGTTGGCAACAATCTGAAACTCATCACTCGCGTGTCTACAGATGGCACACTGTCTCTGAGGCGCCATCGCAGTAAACATGATTATCATAGAATAGTTCCTGGGCAGAGCTTTCACGTATTGCTTGAATTTGTCCGTATTCAGACGCACCACAGACCTCTTCGTCATCGTATCCATAAGTTGTTGAACTCTTTCACCCAAAGATGTTCCCTGCTGTTTAACGAAGGGACAAGTTAATTTGTTTTCTGTTGCAGCACATTTTTAGAATTTCAACGATTCAATTTTCTGAAAAGAGCCGTTTCTGAATCTCAACTACTGTATTGTGGAAACTTGAAATCGGCAAAATTAGTATTTTACAGTACTCACATCCTTCTTCCGGGTGTCATTCAGGGCACCTTTCGGCATCAGCACGAGAAACAAAAATAGAGAACACACAAAAAGACGCATCTTTCAATCACACAATATCCTGAGGCGGAAAGAGAAGAAAAACATAACACTGTCAACAGTTGGTCCTTGACAAAGGTACAGACTAGAAGTAACTAGAATGCATTTAAATTTTCACGTCGCCCACTTCCCGGATGTTAAGTGGTTCGCAGCTCGGAGATGAACCGTAACATTGTGTTCATCACTACGGGAAACCCAGGCACCGTGACTGAGATCTACGTGAGCTTCGCTAGCTTTCGTCCTCAAAATTTCCATTTGTGGAAGCACCAATGCTTTTTCTATTGCCTCGGAATCCGACCAAGAAAAAAGCTCAGACTTGGGGAATCGTTCTTGTACTTTCTCACGTCCGTTGACCTTAAAACATTATAACAACTTTTGTAAGGACAAAAACCGAAAGTATTGTACCTCATCATACAGTGGTTATACTCACCAAGACGTAAAAATTCAAAGGAAAATTATCGTCAACTTGCGGCCATTTTTGAAGGAGAACATTCGTTCCCTGCGAAAGAATCAATCGAAAAATTGATTAAATACTGCAGATGTATTCGGCCTGAAGCGAAGAATTCAGCGAACGTTCTTATTTCGTGAAAACCTTCCCGATGCATCAATATGATTACTGGGACGAAGAATATCTTCATGCTAACATTTTCAAAAAATAAATTCTGATCATCAAACCTTGCCATCGAAGCTTAAAGCAGAAGAGGATACCAACCCAGTCAAAATCTTCAACAGCATGATTCTGAACGGCAGCAATGCCATCCCACAATTCACAAGCAAGATGAGGAGCCAACGGTGCCAACATGATTATGTGAGCAGCAAGCAGTTTCTCATATTCCTTTGATTTCTCCACAACTGATCTAGGGCGAATCTAAACACAAAAGAATCAAATCACAACCTTGAAAGAATAACCATGGAATCAATCAAGAAGTCGTTCAACGTACCCGCAATTCTTTCGTGATATTCATCATTCTTCGAATGGCAACAGATATTCGATTCAATGTGCCGATTTCGTGCGTCACAATGCTGACCATTTTATTTCGAATTTGAATCAGCTCGTGGTCGTGAGTTAGCATATCATTCGCGGCAACGGATTGATCAGCGCGGGATTGTAGCCACGGAGCTTTCTTCTCTTGCCCGACGCGGACGGCATCGCGTCTGGCGCCACAGAATTCCTCGACTATTTCAACTATTCTTTTCTGCCATCGCTCAATGCCGGGCAAAGCTGGAAACAGAAAAATGCAGAAACTAAAAGCGATATTCGCGATATTCACAAAATTCAAAACTTAGGCTTACAGGGAGCAAAAATAACGAGCACCTTCGCAAGCTTCCTTCGTTTTCGATATGAAATAGGACGTTTTTCTCAATTTCCTTCTTCTTCAAGGTTAGCGGTAGGACAGTATTACGTGAAATTTCTCTAGATGTTGTATAAAGATTCGCTGACAGTTAACGGAATGAAATAGACAGATAGCTTTTCGAGAAAAATTCTCCTCCACACATGATTCAATCACCTCTTATAAAAAGCGGATATTCTTCAGGAGAAAATTGTTTCTGATAAGATTACAGCTGATCAATTGAATTTTTTTTTGGACTGAAGCCCCGTTTTCTTCTGCTGAGAATAAAATTGTCCTTAGAAGTAAATTCTCAAACTAACTGGTAGAGGTGCTTGTGTATGAACAGTATTCTTCAATAGGCCAAAATTGGAATGCAGTTGATATTTAACATTTTCCCCACAGTTCTCATTATCTATAATTCAATAATTTTTTTAATGTTTTGAACTCCAGAACTTTTCATCACCCAAGAATACCATTGTAAGAGAGGAAGATTTAACAAAGGGTTTCTGTTAAAACAAAACTAGGCTTCTCCACAAAATTGTTTGGCCACTGAGTCTGTTTTATGATAGAAAAAACCCAGGAAATAATTTGAAGCTAAAATGTTCAGCTTTTCTTTACTGCTTTTAATTCTGTATTTTAAAGAATTTACCAAGACGGAATACATTGGATTTTTACACATACTCTGTCTTGAAGAGCAGAGATTTTTCTTGAGATTTGGTTGCATATTAAATTGAGTTTTATATCAGGTGCTATCATGAAGGAATAAACAACGTTTCCACAAAAGCTTGCCTTTTTTAACTTTCAATGAAGGAAGGTGTCATGCAAGAAACAATTTCCAACAATGCAAATTTCAAGGTATAAGTTTCCAAGATTATCCTGAGTTTATTGAGAGCATGGGGATGTGATTCTCCATTAGAAGTTTAGAACCCAATGATATCATCAGAAAAGTGCCATAATTTCTTTATTTTGGCACATTTTTCAACCATCACAAGGATTTTTTTATGGCATCAAGTGAGTTGGCACTAAATCGCGGTTTGCTTCAAGAACAGAATGGACGGAGATTTGTTTCAGGGACATTTGTGGCACTATGCACGGGTGGCACTAAATCGAGGGTTGAATATATTTTGAAATACTATCACAACTGTATTTCAAAATAATCTAAATCCCATATTGTTTTTGAATGGTAATATACGTACTGTGGAGAGAAAATCGTCGTTCTGATCGCGGCACTGCATCATCCAAGATCAACAAACGAAGTGTATCAATCCCAATTCGCTCCGTAGTGTCCTTCGGGTCAACTCCGTTGTGCCGACTCTTACTCATCTTCTCCCATACGACTTCCACTGGCTCTCCACTAACTTTATCCACGAGTAGGGCATCGGAGTTCTCAGTGGCAGTCTGGATCATGTCAGGAGGTAGGTAGCGTCCACTAGCTTTCTCCTTGTACGTCAGGGCCATCACTTGTCCCACTGGACACAGTGCGTGGAAGGGCTCTGGGCAGAACACACGACCCTCGGAGAAGAAAAATTTGTGCAGGAAGCGAGCGTAGAACAGATGAAGCACGGCTGCAGAAAATACAGATGAAATTCTCATCATTCAACCATTCGTTGAAATAAATTCCAAAATTCAATTATAAATTATCGAGGTTACTTGAAGTATTGAAGATAACTTCAGCATTCTGGTATTCCATGGATTTCATTCATTTCGGTAATATTGCAACGTTCACTGATGATGAAGAGGCTGATGATACATTAAAATGAGCAAGGATGATTTTGACAATGCGATCTTCAAATTTACAAAGATATCTGTAGCTGCGAACGAAAAGAAGTACAGAACGCATTCCAAATACGCAGCGTTCGTATTTTTTCGAATCTGTAAAATTAAATCTTCGGACACTTTTAGTCTCTGCGTTCGAAAAAGCCCTTCAAAATCCTGTAATGCCCTCCTGACAAACTCCAGACCTCACATCGCCGACATTCCATCGAAAATTCAAGAACTACTGCCTTATTAACTTGTTTGAATTTCCACGTCTTCATCTAGAATCTTCATTTAATTTAATCCTAATGCAATGCAGTTCAATCAAAACCAAGTACAATCCAAAAAAGGTAAATATCGAGCTTCACAGATATCGTTACTTCCACGCTGAGACACGAGAACCGAAAGTTCTCGCAAAAAAGTATCAAAATTAAATTCAAAGATACTGTACTTCGACAGAATCAAATTGAAAAGAAAATAAGTAAGAAAGATTAATGTGCTGTACCGTACTTCTCCCCTTCCCCCCAAAACACAAAACGTTTATTCGGAATCGGAGTGCGAATGCCGTTCTCACCATGATCTTTTCCCCCAACGTAAATATTAACCGGCAAATCCTTGACAGCTTCCTTTGAAAAAGGTTCAGAAAGATTTTGGGGATCCAAATATCGCAAGTAATACCATGACGAATCCATGAAAGTATCCATTGTATCGGATTCTCTCTCTGCTGATCCTCCACATCTTCAAAACACTGAACGGTTCAACAAATTCGTGAAAAGTCAAAATTGAATGATCTTACTTTGGACATGGTTGGAGACTCCAGTCAGCGAACTGCTTCAACGGTGATGATCCTTTAGGCATGGCTAAGCAAACGGGCAATTTCACAGGCAGTTCAGGAGCTGGTACAGCCCCACATTTTCTGCAGTGTATGATGGGAATCGGCGTACCCCAAAATCGCTGACGAGAAATCAGCCAATCTTTCAATCGACTCGACGTTTTATAGCCGCCAAGTCGCTGCTTCAGCAAATACTGGCATATTTCTTTCGTAGCTTCGGCAGTCGTGGGTGAGTTCGAGCCCTTGAATAACACTGAATTCAAAATTATAACAATTTTTCAAATACGAATTTTTTTTAGAACCAACTGGAGTTCACTTGAATGCACACATTAATAACATGAGACTCACGTTTCCAAGCATCCGATTCAATGATCGCATTCCACGGCGCAGGTTCACCACCAAGCTTTCGAAGAACTTCGTCGTGTTTCCTGTTCTCTCCAGGGAATCCGACGTAGGTGTCATGTTGTTTTGGATATTCCAAGTCGAACATTTCTTTCATCTTGTAGCCGGGAACAACGAATACTGGAATTTCAATACCCGTCAGAGGGTTTTTAACATGCAACGCAGGACCTTGATCAAGAAGAACAAGATCATGGACCGCGGGGTGATTTGGCTGAAGAAGCAAAAATCCTGCTCTGAACAACAGATGCGGCCTGCAACAATGGATTCGTAAAGATAAACTTTTCAATACAGTAGTTACTACGTGCAATTTTTTCTTTATGAAGTTTCCACATACGCAGGTGTCCAAGAACTGATGGTTGGATCCATATCGGGATTCGCCTCAAGATATGATTCGCAAACTTCGAACTCCACCCTGATTCCGTCGGGAACGCCGATCCAGTGCTTTTGCATTAGCACAACTTCTCGCCAACCGCTTTCCATCTGACCCTCGGTCAAAGTTTCGTATAACGCTTCCGCAAATCGCGTGGTTCGAATGAACCATTGCTTCAAAAGCTTACGCTCGACCAAAGCTCCGGAACGCCACGATCGTCCCTCCGCATCGACTTGTTCCTCCGCCAGAACAGTCTCGTCCACAGGATCCCAGTTCACCCAAGCCTGAGGATATTTTGAAATGAAGAAGAGGCACAATATTAGTTCATTTCATAGACAACAGAAAAAAATCCTTCGACGTGGGCTTCATATTGATTGGAAAAAGGGCCACATCTTCTGTACGTTACCACCCTTCCACTCAATATCTTGAATCTGTGATTCAACTTTCGAATATCAAAGAATTGTAATAAGCTTTGTTAGGTTTGTCCCAAGTTTGATGAGATTCGTTCAGGTTCGAGATCGAAGAGACATGAGGCCCACGAATTCTTCCATGAATAAAAGGAAAAATGAGTCTGGCATATATTTATTTCTGTACAGATGAATAATAATCGGATAGATCCTCAGAATTCACGGCTAACGCTTAAGATAGAACACCGATATTTACAACCGAAATTAACCGCCGACGTAACCTCGACATATTCTCGACTTTCTCATAGCATTACGGTATTGCACTTTCGACTACTTACATTCGAACGGTACACAAGTCCAGCTTCTAAGAGATCAAGAAAAATTGACTGAGTCCATTTGTAGTAAGTCGGATCACACGTAGCAAATGATCGATTCCAGTCGAAGTCCAATCCTATTTGATCCAATTGTTCCCTCATGTACGCGATGTTCGCATAAGTCCATTTATCTGGAGTTAGATTTCGCTCTCGGGCGGCATTTTCCGCCGGAAGCCCAAAAGCATCCCATCCCATTGGATGGATCACCTGCAAAATTAACAATTTCAGAAACGCTATCGGGCCTCCCAGATTGATTCACCCTGAGAAAGGATTAATTTTGTTTTTTACTGAAAGATTACGTCCTCAAGCAGACCACCATGTCCACAGAGAAAGTCAGAACAAAATAAAATTTCTGATGTACGTCGAAGAGATTAACGTGACGAACACTAACCCGAAACTTCCTCAGCCGAAAAAATCGAGCAAGCACATCGGTGAGGGTGTACACTCGCACATGCCCCATGTGCAATTTTCCAGAAGGATACGGAAACATTGACATTATGTACTTATGCGGTTCGCTCTTCGAGGTTTCTTCTCCCGCTTTGGAAGATTCCAGAACGACAGATGACCATTTATCCTCAACGAATCCTTTATAGTCTCGGGGTAAAAAATCCTTCGCCGTCTAAAAAAAACCAGAGATTATTCAGATTCTAAGGCTTCCTTTCATGGGTAAGATCAAGTACTTACGTAATCATCATTGAATTGTTTGTGAGAAAAGCGAACAAGGGAGGGCGCATAATGCCGTAGCACAAGTTTACGCGTCAAAACAAGTCGCATATTGCGTCTACGAGAAGAAACATCGAAAAATATGTGAACCCAAACGCACAATCCTCTCAAGCAAAAGTAAAAAATGATCAAGGAATGACTGCGGTTTTTGAAAAAATTCGGCCTGACTTCTCGCTCTGTTTTTGTTTAAATCATTGACAGGCAAAAGTACAATCACTGAGACGAAGTCCGTTCGCGCTTGTTAGGCCTGGAGGGTCGGATCAACACACAACTTTCAATCGCCATTGAGCTCATCGTCATCCAGACCAAGTGCATCTTCATCAAAGAGGCTCTCATCGATCGGTCCACCAACTGCTCCTTCAGGTTCATCTCGTTGATCCGGTTCTTCATCATCTTCAAGCAAGGTAAGAGCAGCCAGGTCGATTTCTTTGAATTCAAATTGGGTCTCGTTCGCATCAGCATCATTGTCCTCTCGTTTGAAGGCAGATATATCGAACGAAGCTTCGCCTTCTTCCACATCGTCTTCTCCTGCGATCAGACTTGGATCGAAGTCAAACATTTCGCGACCGGAAATGCCAACGCTTCGACCAAGTTTAAAATCTTTACGCTTTTGTTCGCGTTCCTTCTCTTGCAGTTCTTTCTTGTCTTTCCGTTTCTTACGCTTCCAAGCAAGAAACGATTCCAGAGTAACTTTCGTGACATTGCCAGAATCTAACTTTTTTCGTTCGTCTTCTATCAATTCCTCTAAAGTGAGAGCATTTTCTTTTTCTAGCTCTTTTAGTTTCTTCTTGTCCTTCTTCAAAACGAAGCCGGGGGGCAAGGCATGACGATAGTGACATTTATCGTTACCGTTTGGACATTCCCAAAACCACCCATATTTGCTGGATTCCACTGCATCAAGGAAGAATTTGCAGATGATATCAGTGGTTGGCTTAGTTTTGCTATGTTTTTTGTTGACAACTTCTTCGAGCTTCGCTTCGTCCCAGTCTTCCATGGTCTCCTCTTCAGCACTACGCTCATCAACGTACATACTTCGCTTCTCTGTTTTCCGCTCGACCGCCAAATCATGGGAAAATTTACATTTATCACCTTTAGTACATTGCCCCTGCTTGAAAAATGCACACACTACGGATTTTGGATCCACATTTTTATCGATGACTTTCTGGATGATAACGGGTTTGAAAAGATCTTTGTCAAGATCCTCTTCATCTTCCTTTTTCTTCAATTTCAGCGGGTCGAGCTTTGATGCCTTCACATTCGGACCGGATTTGACTTGCTTTTCAACTTGTTGGACAAACTTCTGCATTTTCGCACCCTTCTTGTTCTTCAGCCCGAATGTTTTGTCTTCGATAACCTTCTCCTTCTTCTTCATTTCTGTCTTCTTAGACACCGCCGGTTTTGATGGCTTCGGAGGCATGATGGAAACTCTCTAGAAATGGCAAAAGGCAACGTTTTAAACCGAAAACTTTCAACACATTACTCCCACAAAAAACATGCTTAAAAAAATAGGAATTTAATATAACCACGATCTTACCGATGACCTCGGCGACTATAGAACGTCAATGTCCTTTTCAATTGATTGAAGAGGATTTCGCAAGAACAGACCCGTAGGTTACTTCAAACTCAAGGAAATCACGAATTTCGGTCACGCATGAATCCCAAACTCGGGGTACTCACAGATATGCCTAACGGGAAGGCATAATTTATCGAAACCGTCTGTGAAAACAAAACCCATTTAATGACAGAAAATCGATTTAAGTGAAAACGATTCAATCTTAGAAAAAAGCGGGATAAAACTGCAAATTCACGGAAGCGTACTCGCAGAACGAATACATGTCCAGTAACCTTAATGCAAGGTCGTCTTTTTTTTTAAAGATAATTCCTACTCCGCCATCATGTTCTCAGAAACCATACAGAAAAGTTTCGATCCCGATCACGGAAAGGTAATATATTGCAATAATTCGTTCAGCCGTAATTCAACTTTGGAGCATAGGTTTGGAGATCCAACTGTCCAACTATTTTCGTGAACACTCGTCCACCAAAAGTCACATTAGGATGCCGTATTTCAACTACACTACTTCAACTTCACGAAAATGTACAAGACACAGTTTTTTAAATTGGCATCGCATGATGATCTAACCTTGCTGATGAATATAAGATTCCGTGACAAACTTGGAATTCAGATACAGAATTTCATCAAGCCACAATTCCACATTCAGGAGTTTCGACAACCACCCAGCTGGTTCAGCTCGCACGGACAATGCCACACGTCACTGGGACTTTTTACTTGGATCAATGTTTCTCCCGTTTTCAATGCTTCATGATTTATGGTAGATGTCGCTATTTCATGGTGGTTTTAGTGCAGTACAAACGGTACTGAGTGTAGAGTACAGTAGTATAATATCACTTCGTTGCCCATAACATGCAGATAGCAAAGGGCTGGCCGCATTGACGCATTCTTTTGGCCAAGGGCCATGTTGCATAGATGGAGAGTCCTTTTCGGCTACAATAGAAAGTAAGTTGTAATAAATTTCAAAAAAAAGATGTAAAAATAAAGCTGTACTGTAATGCAAACACTTGTACAAAAAAGCAAAGTTACCTGTATATATAATTGTACATAATGTGGAGATCCATGATAAAAAGAGAAGCTGGACAAAGGAAGAAATTTCCACCAGCAAAGATTTACTCATCATGAGACATATGTCATCCAGGCAAATTTATTTTCTCAAGACTCCAAATGTTTTGCTTCATGAAAAATTTCAAATTTAATTTAGTTCAACAGTTTGATTCATAAACTAGCTTCAGGTTTAATTTTATTGCAGGGTGAAGCATAATTTTGAAATTTAAAAATTCAGCTTTTGATACAGGCTGAATCGTAGTGGCTGCTGCCACCTTGAAAATTACTGGGAAGGGGCCGTTGGACAGAGAACCGTATGCTGTGCAGCACTATTTCAGGCCTGTCTCTTTTAGAACATTCATTAAAAATTAAAAATTTAACCAACACGATTATCTGACAAGAATAGTTTCCAGGAGCCCAAATGTTTCTGTCTAATTCACGTAAACCCCATTGAAAGCTTATTTTTAGGAAAAAAAAACCTGGATTAGCTGACAATTTTGTGATTTATTGTACCTGAATGTCAAATGGATATGAATTGCTCCATTCTGTGCAAAATAAATCACATACAGTATTTTAAATCACATATTATTTAAGAAGTCTTGTAATTCCCAAAAAATCAGAAGCAAAGAACAAGTACCGGATAATATTAAGCAAAGTACTGTCGCAAATTTATAAATTCTGCTTGTGAAAATTTGAATATGCAGAAAAAAAGAAAAAAAATCCACAAAATCAAGCTTCACATCTTGCCAATAACGATTCTGATTGGGTATATTACAGTATATGTATGCTACAGTATTTTCGAGTCAATAAATGCATCAAATTTCTCTCGATGAAGTGATACAAAAATCGGTTATGATTAAAAATCAGTGACTAATTCCGATTAGAAAGGAGGTAGCTTTTAAAATCTAATTTGATAAAATGCTTGAGAAAACCTTCGAAGTATTGGAAGCAAGCCAATATAAGAATAAATTCGGAAAATGCTAACCAGAAAGCGGAAAATTGAAATTTTCAATTTCAATTGAAATACGTAAGCATAACACCAGGAGGATTCCTGAACCGTATCTGCATTTCATCTGATGACAATACGGCTGAGCCAATATTTTATTAATTTAAGAATAATTTACGAAGAATTGAAAAAGTCTTTCTTTAATGATGGCTGGTGGGTGATAATGCTTCTGATGCAGTTTAATTTCGGCTTCCACGCATAAGAGAACTCGAATAAAAATATTAAAAAAAGACACACTAGTCCCATAATTACCACGTCGTTTTATTGACTCAGTTCAACACGTTCCTTCCTGTCAATGAAGCAGCTGCGCTCAGCAAGATTTTTCACAATAATATCTTTGACAATCTTGACCGAAAAAAAAAAACGAACGGTTCGCAAGTATCTTCTGAGTTCACGATAACGGTCGCATTCCGTCAATGAAGAGTGCAAACACCAGCAAAGGACTGCCTTTAACTGAAGATCGAAGACCGAGTAATGTCAGGCCTCTTGTGCAGATAAGCCGAGGTATTCAACATACCATTCCTCCTCCAAAAAGAGAAAAACCAAAAAACCCGGGAGGACTATACAGTTACGCGTCTTCGAAAACGAAAAATCCGGGGGACGAAAACTTCCGACGAGGATATTCTTTTGTTTTGTTTTCCAACCAATAATAAGCCATCAGCGACCCGGGGAACGATGATCTCTGAAACCTATCCCGAGCCGATCTTCATGCAACAATCACACTTCAACCCGCGAATGCCTTTCCCTTCGCTCATCTAAAAACCGAAAAAAAGCTCGCGATGAGGCGAATTGAATTTTTTTCCCCACGTCACACTCAGCCGACAATGATGAGAAATCCAGCGGAAAAAAGTCCCTCAACAACCAGACATTCGAGATTCAAACGTAGACACCAAAACATAGCCAGCTCGCCACACACAAAAACATGAACAAATTAGCACGAATGTCTCACTCGTTCTATCCCATGATGGATGTAATTGCAGGAACTATAGGAGACAGACCGAAGGACCAAACCTGCTGATGTGTGACGAAAAGACACCTCTTTCACACATGTAACAACTATAGGTCGAAAGTCCGCTGGAAAATCAACTTCGTTCATCATAAAAAAAGTTGATCTTATAGGAGAGATTCAGTTCGCATCATTGATCACGGGATGCTCATGAGTAGTGAGTATAAACAAGAAAAATGCTTTGCAATCGCAAAATGAACGAAATTGATTGAAGCGGGAGGGTGGCTGGAATAACGTCGCCAGGCCTAACCTTTTCACACTAGAAGAATGTTGTGGAGATGTAATTTCATCAGGAATATCATCCTCTCAGGAATAATATAGCATTTGGGATTTTTTTTTCCTGCTAAACTGGAATAAAATTGTCAACATATTCTTTTTCCTAAAATTGAAACAACTTTGTCTGGCAAAAACTGGACATTCATCTTAATGATGAATATGGAATAACCTCATCTTATGTAGACTGGCCCTTCCTTGTACATTTTACAAGCAAGAACTTCAACAGGGTTAACAATTTTTTTTTGGCTTTCCTGACAAATTTTTAGCAACCTGCAACATAAGTGGTGCAGTTCTCCACTCATGTCACACATTAGGAGATATCTGCTCAAATCCTGTTAGATCTTGTAAAAACATGGTTAGAAGAACAACCCATGTTTTATTTTTTGTGGCTTTCCTGCCAGATTTTTAGCAACCAGTGTGTCACATGAGTGGAGAACTGCACCTCCACTCATGTCACACTCATGTCACAGGCTGCTAGAAATTTGGCAGGAAAGCCACAAAAAATTAAATTTTACACGTAATTTCATACAATTAATTTTTCATACAATTCTTATCCCTGGAGTCTACTTCATAAATCAGGTATTGTAAGGAAACAGGGAAGAATTTCATTTACAAGATAATTCCATGTTTATCTTGACATCAATACTCCAGTTCAGGCATACCAGGTTGTTCCAGTTCTTGAGAAACAACATTTTTCCTCTACCATTGTACAAGATTTATCTGGTTTTTTCAAACAATAATTTTTTTGACAACTTTCAGGATTTTTTTAGCAGTACAACATTGGGCCAATTATGCAGAAAGGGAAGATTCTTTTCAGGATATAATTCTTGCAGAGACTGGATGACAATAGGCCAGTTTTGAAATTACCACGTAATTCCACCACCCCAAGCGGGAATCCGACCTACGGTTTGCGCAGGTAAAATGGACGCTGGGTTCGTTTTTGGTTTCTTCCTTGTAACTCCGGGGGATGCTCGGAATTGAAGCTCGATTTTTACCCATTCCCTTTTGTAGACCGTCCCCCACGAATAGTTTCAAAAAATGTTCAAAAGCATCTCTTCCGAGCTGAAATAAACTTCGTAATGAATGAGGAGGAAACCGCCTCCCGTCAATAAGGCCCTCATGGTGCAAGCACAGAGAACAGACTTCCAAAAGGGAAAAAAACCTTTGTTTCCTTCATTTCTTTAATGGCGAACTATATTCGCACAATGATGCAAGCTGCGAGCAGTACAGTAAGAGGAAATCTTTTTTTGTTTTTTGGAGTTCGTCTTTGATATGAACATGCGTTTATGCTCTCTGAAACCCTCTGGTGCAAATTTTGCTGTTCTATAGGGATGATGAATATTCTTCACCTCTCGTCGTGAAACTACTGCGTGAATACAGTGAAATTTTGTTACACACACTATAGGTTCCCCACATTTTCCAGAGTGCATCATGGATACGCTTTGAATTTGACAGTCACAAACCTAACGTGTTTTATACTCAGAAATTAAAAAAAAAAATTCAGAGCGGGAAAAACTCATCATTAGTATCTCTTCAACGCAAAAAAAGCCAGCTCACAGAATTAAGTTATTTGCAGTCGGAAATATACCGTGCTTCTATAAAAAGTTATCCTGAAAACCAACATGATTGAAACAGTATAGAAATCTTAAAACCTTATTCGCACAATAACCCGCCAAGGAAACTAGAATTACCGGCATTAACTTTGAAAAAAATAAAGAAGAATTGGAATGTGCTCACCGGTACATCAATCCTTATTTGTGTTCACAAAAAAACTAGATTCTTCGCACAAATCCTTCTTCTGTCATAAGAAACGCTCATCGTTCAATATTTGCTAGAAAATGAAAATTAAAAGTTTTAAATTTGTACCATCAGCCAAATATGAAGTTGAATGGTTTCCATGGGAAACATCTTTATAGAAAAGCTGAAGTGAGGAAATATTTTGCATAAATAAAAGTAGAATCAGATACATAATTAGGCTCATTTATAATTCGTGGGAGCCTCAAAAATCAATTTGATTTTCGCGAGGAAATACGGAATTGAGGAACAGGTTTTTTTTCGAATCGCTGGTTTTAAAGAGGCCGCGTTAATTGCGATAGGACATATTCCAAGTGAGATAGAGGTGATTCAATTATTCAAAATGAAGGTTTGTTGCTATCAAAACAAAGCGTATCCTCTCAGAAACACTTCGGAAAACCATGTCGCGAATTCTATCAGTCTAGGATAAAGCAAACTGCCCCAGACTCGCAATAACAACAATACCGATTGCTGTACAGTACACACATTTCCTTCGTCCACTCTCACACCAGTGCCTTGACCTAACATTGCGCAAGACCCTCACTCACTTCCCTATCACATGAACAGCACGTCTCGAGAACGGTTAAAACGCTGAATTTTTTTGTCATTAAAGACAGAGGGAAAAAAGATAGAGACAGAGAGTTGAGAATAACGAATCTACAAAGCGAAGAAAAGGAAAAGCGCAGTAAAAAATCGCCCCATCGGAAAAAACCACGAGGGTCTCCACTCATTCGGTAACTTTACCCCACCTCCTGTTGAAGCAGTTCATCACCAGCCTCGGAACGTTTTAAAAAAGAAAAACGAATCTCAAAAAAGCCGCTTTTCGCATTTCGTTTTTTCGAAAAAACCCCCATTGATAAAACACCCAGCAGATAATGCATTCTTTTTTCCTTTTCTAGAAAAAAAAGAAGATCGAACAGGACACAACGAAAATACAAATAAATACTAGCCTCGACTTCGTGGTTCGCGGAATAAAAAAAAATCAAACATCGAAGCAACGAAACAAAAAACCATTAACTCCGTTTTCTTTATTATTAAGGGTTCCTAGTTACCACCACTCCCACCCGAGCAGAGAACATTTTAGTCGGGATTCAAACTGACTGACTGTTAGATCAGTAAGAAATTCTCCCACTCGGATGAATTGCTCCCCCTTTTTCGGCTGTTCCAAGTTCATGGAGACCCTAAGTAGGATGAGATTAACCGCAGTTCGAGTTATGAGGACAGCAGGAAGGAGCAAGTTTCTCTTTGACTTACGTAGGACCTTGCTGCTGGCAATATTTACAACCTCTACTAAAACTTTCTAACGCGTCATCCGCGGTCGTATTTACAGCAAATCGCGAATACTACTCCGTATGTGGGATCACAGCAAATTAATAATTTTCCTCAGGCGAATAAGCTAATAATCGTTTTGATTCGGGGCACCAGGATTTCTAGATCATTGAAAATCACAACAAGCGCTGATATCCCGATAAAATTGGCGAACAACCATCAACGAACGAACAGCGAATGCGTCTCATCCGCGAGGGTTCGTCGGAAAATTCCTTCGGCATCATATTTCTGCCGTGATTTTCGGACGAACCCTCGGAGACTTGTACTGTATAATGCGATTACTATGTGAACATGCTTGACCGCAGTTCATCGCTTAGACGTAAAAAAAAGTGTCTTAGCTAAAGATTCTCTCTTTTGGTTTTTTGGAAGACAGCGCCCTAGGGGTAATTCGGAGTTCCCTAGGGATCAGCAAGTCTTCGCAAAAAATTGCACGCTTTGGCCCGAGCTGCACAGGAGCAACATTGACGAGAGCTCCACTCATTCGAAAAAGGATCGTTTTCACACACAAATGAAATAAAAAAAGAACCAAGAAGATAGACGAGAGGATATAGAATTGCCTTCATACGCGACAAAAGATACGGTGTGGACCCCAGGGGTTGTCCCTCAGTTCCAGCGTTCAAGCGCGTACTCAAGTCATACCCTTTCTTGCGTAACATGTTTACTCCGCAAGTCCGCTGGATACATGTGGTTATTGATGGAAGGATGGTCCAACAGCCAGAAGCACTTCCCACATTCTGTACACACACTGGATTAAAGACAAACAATACATTATTCCTGTTAATATATTCTCTCCAGAATCCGGAAGAAGAAAGTCGATAACTCAGAACAGGAGACTAATGCGGAATGCGCTTCTTCATTGGTGTCATGGCGAGACCGCGTGAAGACATCTTCTCGCGCGATACGACGCGCCACACAGATGGCGCCGCCAGTGGGTTGCAACCTGGACTTCATTCTTAGCCAATGAGCGTCAAGACTCGAAAGAGGATGGCTCAATAGCTGTTCGCGTGCGTCCGCCATTCGATGCTGGATTTTTGGATGGCCCGCCAGCTCTGATCAGATAATTTTATTTAAATTTGAACTCTAGCAGTATGAGGTTGCAAGTCACTGGTGGCACTGTCTGTATATCGAGGGCGCCAGAGGTCGCAGTTCACTAAATCAATGCGAATATGGCGATCGGAAATGGACATTGAACGAGATATTTGATAGGGTTCAAGAAAAGTATGCGTGGTTCAGTTTCAGGCATTTATTTTATCAGCTAAATCCACCTCCAAAGTCTAAGGTCATTTGCGTCACGTATAGTTCAGAAAGTGAAGTGTACAGGGAGAGTTGATGACAAGAAATGTTCTGTATCTGATGCTAAACTAATACTGTATAGACATTATTGTTTTTACATTTCCATTTTTAGAAAATGGGTTTTTTGTCCTGGGCATTCATTTTTTTCCAAATCAGCATTCACAGTCTCGTGCCAGTTGGGTCACCGCATTATTCCGAAAGTTTAGGGGTGGGAGTTGATAATGAGTCTTCGATTAAAAACATAATGGAATGAATATTCACCCGATACTGCTAAGCTAATGTAGACATTCTTAGTCCTTCTTGTCGTCATCGGGCTCTTTGAGAGTGTGCCATTGGGCGATGGGTCTCCTGGGCGACGCTAACATGTCTGACCAGTGTCTAAGTTCTGTCCCCGTTGCGTTGCAGCCCAATACGACCTTCCCAATGGGCTCTGAAGTTCCTATTCTATCATAATCCACCACTGTGATGACCAGGTTTACTTTCTGTAAAGATATATGAATAGATTTAGTTGACAAGGGAATTAAATCTCAGTGCAGCGAAAAAAGAAGAAGAGTTTTTTTTTTTTTTTTTTTTACCTGGATTTGCTCGAACGGAACCTCGAAAGTGAAAGATTCATTGTAGTACGGATTCAAGGTACATTTCTTGATGCTCGTTTTCTTTTTCTTTAGTCGTTTCCCGTTCATCATCATGGCTATCTTCACGTAAGGATCTGAAAAAGATTTTGGTTATAACACAGCTGTAAATGATCGCGCCATGTTATTGCAGATTTTTGTAATCATTAATAAGAGAGGCCATCCATTCAATGAACCAATAAATTGTAATAGGAATCCAGGGAATCTTTCATTGGTGAAAGAACGCAATTTTCACAATAAATTCCATTAATTAAAATCTTCGTTTATGCGACATTCCAATAGCTTGACTCCTCGTGAAATTTGAAGTCGATGTTTTAAATTATTCTCTTGCGTTGGTCGAGATCTAGTATGAGATTAATTTGTTTGAAAGGTTTGATCAAGTTGACCAATGCTCAAAATTAAAACAAGCATTGCGGGATAGCTGCTTTGAACAAGCTTTTCTCTGCCAATTTAGAATGAGCTAGACCAAATTTATTCGATACGTGAGTGGACTTTTTTTTATCGAGTGACTTAGTTCATTCAGTTAAAATAATATTCAACCCTCATTTGAGTGCCTCTAAATACAGTGGCACATATATTTCGGTGATACATATATTTTGCCACGGAAATGTTAGAACTTATAATAAGTATCCATCATTATAGGCGAAAAGTTTCAATTGTTCCGTGTACTTAATGTCAACAAATGTGATGACATCAATATGATGCAATTCAGATAATTGATGTTGTTATTTATTACTGTCAAAATTGTCTAAAAATTTTTGGAGTTAAATTTTGAAAGCAAAGAATAAAGGAATACTAAATGCTGGAGTTCACTAAAGAATGGTTAATTTCAGTGTTAACAGATAGAAATGAATGATCTTTTCGGATTTTAAGGGATCAGATCCTAACAAATGGACAGAAATACATTTTGCACACCGGAACAAATAAATAAATAATATGAGACAATCAGCTATTTTGCGGCCGAGAAGATCTATTTGACCCTGGGATGGCATCAAGTTCTTTTCTATCATGTGGCGTTGTCAGAATTGTTTTTTCATCCTGTTGTCTTTTTTAGTTTGACGGAATTTTACCAAAATGCAGCCTGCGTTGACCGAAGAGTGATCTCTCGCTGGGCATGCTGCCAAAGTCCAAGATTTTCTCCAAGGACTAAATTATTTTGCTCTCAAAATACTTGAATGTTAATCCTATATATTGTGAGAATGCACAAAAATGCCACCCAGTTAGGATTAAAAAGATGATCAGCCTAAAGGGGAAAAAATTGGACTTCTCCTTGACTTCAGAGATGTACAAGGGTTGGTTTGTAAAAGATGACAAACAGCCACTTGCTGTCATTGGAGGTTAATGCAATGTTTCCTCTTTCTCTTTAATCATTCATTTAGGTTTAATAAATTTATAATCCACTACTCAGCTACAGAAGGAAATAAGAAAAAGATCTGGATCACAGTGAATGCCCTACACTGAGGTGTACTGAAGCAAAGTTTAGTTGATCAAGAGCAGCTGAATGTGCCCTTGCATGCTCTATGACTCTGGGGGTTAGTGGTAAACTTCACTTCAGTGCACTTCAGTGGAAGGCATTCATTGTGATCCAGGTATTTTTCTTGCTTCCTTCTGTAGCTGAGAAGCAAATTAAAAATGTATTAGACACCAATGAATGATTGAAGAGAAAAAGTAAAAATTGCATCTGCCTCTCATGATGGCAAGTGGCCATTTATCCTCATTTACAAACCAACCCTCATACTTATGTTGTTCAGTCAAATTTTTTTTATTTCTCTGCTCTTGCGCACCAAAATTTGCTAGAATATCTCTGCTCTGCCATGAGAAAAAAGAGTTAAAGTAGGAGAGACATTAAATACATGTTTTCAGCCTTAAAACAGCTTATAGCTTTTCCTGTATTGCAATATTTATTTGTTACACCGCTGCAAAGCTGCTGCTTTTGTTTGTCCCTGATGCACTGGGTATTAGACAAGGGGTTAAGCCCGAAGGAGTCCGCTGGCTATAATTGAATAAGCATCAAGATCGATTCCATAAAATTACCTGATAATCCACCAACGTCCATCTTCTTGAGATTCTTGGCTTCCAGGATAACCACAGTCAGCTTGCCTGCAGTTGGAACATACCTCAGAGAGAAGCAGATGTCCCCCAGCTTGTTTTCCTGCATCCATGAAACAAAACAGAAAAACCGGGTAAAAACATCACGTGTCTCCCCCACAAAGGACTCCCACTCCCACAGCTCAATCAACATATCTGCTAAGATCTAAGGCTCTCACTGCACTCAGTCTAAGTCTAAAAAAAAATTTGCTACTCTCCACTGGATACTGGGACGCCGCTGAAAGGGAATTAAACCAGGTCAGAATAGACAGACAAAGAAAAAAAAGTACACTGCCCGAGCAGAAGCGGGGTTATATATAGACGAAGCACCTGAAGAGAAAAGGCCTGAGTCCTACCTCACGACCAACACGGCTAAATTCCCTGCAATTTCTATAACGTCTGGCCGGAGAATATATATATATATAGATATATATTTGCCTCGAGCTCGACAAGATGCACGCAAAATGCAACCAACTCTTCCCACACAATAATCTCACTCACTCAATCAATCACTCTCTCTCTCTCACTCACTCAATCAATCAATAAATCACTCTCGCGGTCAACCAAAAAAAAAAAAAGGTGTTACACAAATGTGTACGACTATTTGGCTCAGCCGGTATTGTGAATCCGTGAGTGGTTACAGTATACCTGGCACTATTTCCAAGGTCACTTGGTAGGTTTAAAAATCTCCAAGCAATACAGCAGAAAAAGTCGAGTGCGTTTAAACAGTGCAACGGTTACTCTAAGCGATTGTTTTAAATCAAAGCATCTCCAAGCTCTGCATCACTGGCCAGCGAACTCATCTAGTGGATTGATACATCAGACTAAACGGCAACGCATCCACTTGGAACCCTTTTCGCTCCCTAAGCAAAATACGACTTCTAATGATCCAGGTTCTTCAGCATTCGATGATGTGAGGTTCGGGGACTCGTACTTTATTGCTCTCGTCAACCATTGACATGAAAGGAAGAAACCACTGGCCAGTGGGAAATTGCTTGACTTGATACACGTTAGGGAAACTGAATATAAATTACTGTACCTTGAAGTTATACAGAAAATGCGAAACGTTCTTATGCATTACAATTGTATAGAGACAAATATGTATTTCTGAACGAAAACCTATAGAAAGGGCGACGAATGTATTATGCTATTTCCTGGCCAGTGAAGTTCAGCACCTCAGTAATTTGAAGAAATTTAAGAAGGAATCTCTTTTTTAATTTTGATTTTTGATGCAAAAATTAAAAAAATTCAATTTTTTAAACCTTCCAAGTTCATTTTAATGTTGTTTTAGTCGTTAAAACTTGAATTTTGTCGATCGATGCATGCTGCGCTGAATTCGTTCCCTTTTCGCCTATTTTTTTTCCGCACAAGTCTCACACGAGAGTTTCGAAAAACTTAAAACTCTGTACACTTGGAATTTCAAGAATCACAGAGATTCTTCAGAATTTGAATTTTTATTATTGCTGAAGGTAAGACAAGTTCAAAATCGGGTGTGAGAAAAAATTCAAAATTACAAATTATCAGTTCAAGGAACGTGCAAACCGAATCCCAGTCGATGACAGATTAGGAATTATTTCGCAACACTCCAAGAAATCAACAACGCAGTTAAAGTCAAATTTGGAGCCTTATTGTTGAACTTTTTGCTTGACCTGGAAGACGTGAAAAAGTTTAGCTTCACCACGCATATTTTACGTGATCCCTGAAGCTACATTATTCACGGTTTACAGGATAAGAAAATATGTGCGTGGAAATGAAATACTCAATAAGAGACTTTTCGGGAACGAATTTGAGCGCAGCGCCATCCATGACACAAAAGATGAATGAAGATGAGGTTCACTGCATTATAAGATATATGCATGTAAGACCTGGACGCTAAGATATATAAAGAAACCTCGACTAAGTTAGACAGCTAGGACACTAAGAATTAGCCTGTCTCACCCACACGACTGCAATGGCTAGAACACTCTCGATAGTTTCTACCTGCTGCTAGGCTGCTCTTTGACGACCCCAGTCTTATGAGCGACATACTCACACGTCACGTCATCATGGCAGGTTTTCAAAATTTCGTGCCCACGCACGATTGATTGATTGTCATTGATTCGTGTTGAGGATCATCATGGAAAACGAAAACAACGCATTACACGGGTCACATTCAAAAATCTCGGCCCCTCCGTCTTTCTCTTTCGGGATATCAAAAAGAAACCTCTTTTTCGGAAATGTAACGAAACGGGACGAAAAAATATAATTTAAAAGAACCGGTGGGCAATTGAACAAGTCCCACCTGTCCGCCTTCGCCTTCCACGCTGACGAGGTCCTTCCATTCTTCAATGGTCTGTGCGAGGTCGACTTGGCACAGAGGCACTTTGACCTCGCCGATTTGGTCGTGTTTTGAGAAACGATCGAAATCGAAGATGGCAAATACCAGAGTCTTGCTCACCAAGTCTGCATATGGAACCTAAAATTCAAACCGTAATCAAAATTTGAGCATAACACAAGGAATATTCATTTCCACGAATATATAAAAAAATATTTCTACGGCCTAAAACTACGTTTTGCGTATAGATGATGCAAAACATTTCGACACACCTCACAAATTCGGATTCACAAAAAGGTTCTCTTTGCATCACTTAATTATCCATATAATGCAAAGCAGTGCTGTTTAATTTGCTCTCACTCATTAATCTTGAATTTATATGAATAGATCATTAAATTTCACCCGAAAATCAGTCAATCAAAGCAACGTTCAATTTATTTTTGACTCCCGAAATAATATGAGTCCATACTGTATTACGGAAACGGTCGGGGATCGATAATAAGTGCTGAAAAAGCTTGCTTATACTGTACTGTAATTTAAAAATGGGTGTTTTTCACTTGCAGCAGCACGCATTCAATTCAATCTTCATACACATGTTTTTCTACCTCAATAAAATTGCAGAAAGAAGCAAACTTTTGATTCCAGATAGAAATAAAATTTTGATGCATTGGCCGGTTTATTTGAATAAAAAGTATTCCGCGGAAATTTTGCACGGAATAATCCGCTTTTGAAAAATTCGCGTTATTTTTGGAGACATCTGTCGCCCTGCAGCTATTTCTCAAATAACTTACCAATTTAACTCATCAGTTTCAAAATTTAAACTCAACACACTCTCAAATGAACTTCGAAAGATAGCTTCCGTTAAACTTTCTCTCTCAGCACTAATTGATCTTCGCCGAAAAGAGAAGTTTGTCGAAATTAATCTGATTTGATCCCATTATGAGCTGATGATTTTCTCATATGAAACAAATGAACTCTTGGCTTGATCGGGCAAGTTTTTAAAGGGAGAAATGACTGATTTAATCTCTCGTATAATTTTTGAGGGCATCGAAATTAAGACGATACCTTGAAATTGAAAGTTTCGTTGAAGACAGGGTTCAGAGTTTTGCGGTGGACTTTGGTCTCAAACTTTTTCTTCTTGTCCGGCAGCAAATAACACTTGACATAAGGATCCGATGTTCCTCCCATGTCAAGAGCTGGAAGCTCTTCAGCTTGAATCACCGTCACTGCCAAGTTGTTGGAGTTGAAATCAAACTCCAACTGCAACAATTAAAGGAATCGATTAATATTTCCTCCATGATTTCCGCGATAGAAATGGCTCTCCTTTAACTTCAGGTAACCGCACATTCACATTTTTTTAAATTTTTCATGCAGAGTGGACTAGAAAAAAGTCAGATAAAAGCATCTGAATATTTTGAGCTGTATAGTGGAAAGTTTATCCGGATTTCCGCCAAAAGCGGGTAATTTCACGTTTTTTATTGCTTGATTGTTGTGACCACCAGGACCATTTTTGCTGCAATAAAATAATGAAATTCACCGAGAAATCTCCTGCAAGGGCTGTCCTAGGTCGGTATAAATGAGTATAATTGACCTATTTCCACACGCATCTAAATGGATCATTCTCAGTAAGCAAAACGACTTCATCCTTGCAACTTGAAGCATATTTAAATTTTTTCGGATTTTTTTCTCAGTAAGCAATACTACTTTATCCTTGCAACTTGGAGTACATTTAAAAATTTTCGGATTTTTAAGAACAACAAGATGTGGTTTTTAGAAAGGCGAAGATGATACAGGTACAAATTATGTTTCGGGTAGAATGTAGTTTTCCTGTCGCAGTTCTGAATTGTGGTGGAACGAAAATTTGCTCATAGCCCTTGTGCTAATTGACTTGAGGAAGGATTTTCATTCAATCATTCCTATTCCTCGTCAAAGCTCAACTCCTTTTGGGCTCATGCATAAGCTGAACTCAACATCATCAAGAATATTTCTGATCAATTTGATGATTTCAGGCAACACCTGCCTAGCATTTAAAAATTTAAAGAGAAAATCAAATTAAGAAGACATTTCTGAAAACTACTGCACCTTGTACTGCAGTCTTCCCAGTTTCTGTGCCTCTTCTTTCTTGTCATCCTTTTCTTCCTCTTCTGCGTGCTCTGTGAGTTCTTCCATGTCAGGCTGTACCTTTTCAAAACAGCGGATAAGTCCCGCAAAGAAACAGGTACCCAGATTAGGAGAGGCAATTTTCAGCGGAGTAATCTGCAGGCAGCAGGTGTTACAATTTCACCCAATCTATCACCGAAAGAAATTCCGAGTTTAAGTGAGAAAGAAAATCCCGGATTTCCACGCTAAAATCTCGTACTGTATATATTTGAAAGAAAAAGTTGAAAATACTCTCGATTCTCTCATTCGGTAACTTCTTGCTACTGTACTTTCTTCTAAGAGTTGTACAGCTAAAACTTTTAGGGATGCAATTCGGAAAAAACTCCAATCGAAAGTTGACTTCAAGAATTGTGAAAGTTTTGCGGAAAATGACGAGAAAAAGTATGAGTATCAGTGATTCACGCAAACGTGACGGAAAATGATTGCTCTTTTCAAACAAATCTGTGAAAAAAACAGGCATATACGTATTTTTATAAGTTCAAGGCAGTAACTTTTTTTTCGCTGCAGTGCTTTTAGCAGAAGCGACATTGAGCAAATAGGATGTTTGAAATACGTGTTCGAAGCAAAGCAGCGCAATGAAGCGAATTACCCAGAAAATGTAAGCTTCATGCAACTTAAGACCGAAAACGTAAGAAGGTTGAAAAAAATACGTTTTGTCGTGAAAAAGGAGGAAAAACCAAGTGGTATTGTGTCTCTCTTCCACATTTTACAATATCAGAGCGTGTATCTATTTTGAGTCGATTTTTCAAAAGGAAAGCATTTCCTATAAATGATTGCCAAGGTGAGATGCATTCCTGAAGATAATGTAGTCCTAAAAATATTCTAAAACTATGTAAAGCAGCTCAAAGTTTATTCTAGCTCTTATACTTTCTTCTCAACTAAACTAAATTAAACATGTCCAACTCGCAGATCTACTACAGTTTTTTTCTCTCATTTAGTTTACAGTATTCATTAAAAAAGAAAAGGCAATTGCTACAATATGCATGTCAAGCTGCTCATAAGGCCTGAGACTGGATTCGGTGGAAAGCAAAAAACTTCAGGCAAACAATCGTCTACGTATGACGTTTTCGGAAACATCTATACATAAGGAAAAAGTAAATAAATATGGAAAGCTTTCAACTCTCACTGCTTGTACACCGTTCTGTGTGTATTTTCCTTCTTCCTCCGAAGAAAGAAATCATTTTCCAAATGATCCCCTGACTTGTTTTGTCGGGAAAAAGAAAATGGATCATTTCTTTTGAATTTGTATCTTCATGATGCCCGAAATAATGAGTGAAGAAACCCGCAATCTCAAGTATTTATTGTTGTTTTTTCTTAAACGCAAAGTGTCATCAAAATTGCAACTTGATGATTTATTGAAAAAATATATCAGCACCGTATAAGAGATAGTGATCAGCAACGATTTATTTAAAAAATTGTTATTGTAACAAGGAAAACAGGTACATACAAGTACAAGGAATTGACGCAGGAAAATTATTTGATAAAAAATTATTTTAAAACTTAAAAAAATGTTTGATCCAAAAAGTGTTTCCATTTTCACAACTCATTCAATACGATATTATACTGCATCTTAAAAATTCAAGATCAAACCAAAATATTGACGGGTTCTTCGATATGGGCCCTTTATTCGATTAAATTCTGTCGTGGAAGAGTTCATGCGATTCTACAACGGTGTACATCTAAAAACTACTAAAACCTTTTCTTTGTAAGCATTCCCGAGGAGCTGTACAGATTTAATGTCGATGGCGCCTTTGCCGCCCTTCTTGGCGTCCTTTCCACGCTTTTTCCTGAAGAACCGCCGGATGCAGAAGAAAAGACAGCCCAGCACCACGATCAGCACTCCTGCAAATTGACGGAGAAATTATAGACTGCATTGTATCCGGAATTCAATCTTATTCTTGAAGAATCGAAAAACTATTTCCATCGCAAACATTGTCTATTTAACTATTTTAATTTCATTGTGGCTTAGTTTTTTTAAAGAGCAAACGCTAAATTTTCTCAGAAAAATTTTGACGTCTCAAAGAAAAGGATCAACTAGGATTGAATGCAATTGCACACATCCACACACTTTCAATATGTGCTTTACAATTTATTATCTTACACCGTATAAGAGAAATTTGAAATCAAAAGGTCTTCAGATTTTAATGAATTATTTATAAAAATATCGTAATTCATTGACCCAAGTAAAGGACGTTAATGTTTGTTCATGCGGTTTAAACCACTGCAGGATTAACATTTCAATGCTGCCTCAAATGTTGATCCATGAAATTACACATTCAGAGCTGCCGGATGCTTTTCAGAATCGAGGATAACCTGAAGCTTGAATAAATATTATATTTTTAAGACTTCTGCAGTTTCAATACCATGGTGATTCATTAAAGTAACCCCTGAAGATTATTTGAGAGTCGCTCCTTCAATGTTGTCATTGTCAAGGACGTTTCGCTAAAAATCACGGAAGTTTTAAATCTGAGAAACGAGACGAGTTTGTTCTTAATTCAGCAACGATTTCGGAAAAAGCTGTTTCCTCTATAGAACAACGAAACTCGTATCTTCAACTTCGTGTTGCTAGCCAGGAAACTTCTTGACTCTCATTTTTTTGTAAGAAAATGGTGGGGAATTAAAATCAGAAGTCATCCGTAATTAATCTAGCTGAATACAGAAAATGATATTCACTCCCTGATTTCCTGATGATGAAGTTTGACAATGCACCGATGCTAACTTTCCTGATGCTAAATTTTCCCGCATTATCTTGCATGCCAACTTTCCACTCTGATCCTCAAAGGAGAGGTTGATGACTGACAGACCGGAAAATATTTTAATTATTTACGAAAGGCAATTTAAAACCGGATTTCGGACTTGATTGAAAATCCCCTGAGTACTTTTATTGTGATTAAAATAAATGATGCCGCTCCACCAGATTTAAAATGAACAGTCAAGTATGTGAGTCCTTTTGAATTGTGAAAAATTACAGTACTATATATGAAATAACGCTGTTCATTAAATGAAAGAAATGGGATTGAGGACGAAAGTGCACAGGAAATTCATTTTCAATGTTAGAGGAATATATGCGATAATTTGCAGGAAAGTCGAAGCCAAAATATTGCCTGGACCAAAAATCTGCTGTGAGAAAAACGCTTTCGCCCTGTCTGCTAAATTATGTCTGCGCATTGGCATTCGTCATCAGCACTGGACCACTGGGTCAAGAATAATTGTAATTCAATAATTAGCTTAATCATTGACGCATAATCTGAAATTCTGAATAATTTTCCTACTGGTTTTTACGAAGTGCAGTAATAATTTTCAATTTCAAAAGATGCCGGATAGTTTTATCCGGTACCTCATGAAGTACAAATGAAAAATGAATTCAAAAGGTATTTGAATGGATTGAAGAAAATAAATCTTTTGATCAAATGTGATAACATGAAAAAAAAATATTTCGACACTCACCAATGATGATGGCGATGACCATCCATGAAGCCATGCCAGATTTTTCGCCAATAAAGTCGACGCTCTCCATGAAAAGATCCTTGGCGTTGGTGCCTGCAGATTCCGGCGCCACCTCAACTTTGGGCTCTGGAGGGGCGGCCTCCTCAGCCGCGGCCGCCGCCGATGCCGCCACGGCGGCCTCCTTGCCCGTCTCCTCGGCCGGAGCCATTTTTTGAGACTCGGCCTCCACGGATTCTTTTTTGGCAGATTCGGCCTCCCGCGCAAACCGCCGCAGCAACGTGTTTACGTACATCTCACGTGGTGCCATTTCGAAGGTTCAGCGCTTTTTTTTTGTTGCCTGCCGATCAAAGAGTATCCTTCAGCTACCCTGAAAAAAGACAGCACAAAATGATTCAAGAATGAGTGACTGAGGAATATTGCTCACTCTCTTCATGGATTAATATTCTGAATAGACCTTTCTTCGGAATAGGTTAGTCGTCGAAAAAAAAATTCTTGAGTTATCCAGATCACTGCATTAAAGGGTTGGATTCACTAAGACATCCGTGTAAGATAGATAAACAGTATTTTAGACCTGCTTTATTAAAATGTCACCTATTCCCATGCATTTTCTCAAATTCATAAATCTGCAGTTGATATTGAAACTTTTATCACAGTCTTCATTTTTCAGGTTTTATCGTAAATGAATGCATGATAAAAAAGGCTTGATTTATTCTTAACCATTTTTTGCGCCATAGACCTCTGGGAAATTAATGGAAAATTCATGGTATGGAATAATACTGCTCCAACAACACTTTTAATGATTAATAATGTGCAGGCATTCATCTTCTTGAAATCCATTTTTGCTAGCCTTAGAATGGAAAAAAACAAAAACAAAACCGGATGATCTCTTTGGCATAAATTAGAGAATGAAACACATTTTGCCTCAATTGGATTTCCTCTTTTAGTGATTTAAAATCTCCAAAAACGTTTATAACGAACCTGCAACACTTTTGCATTTCGCAAAATCTTTCTACTAAAAAGCCAAACAAATCAGAAGGAAGTGTTGTTAAGATAAAAAAATCTTTATGGAGAATTTAAAATACTCCACTACCGAATCGTGGCTATTGGATGGGCATATACCTAAACATCAAATACTTTTGTAAGCGATAAGTTGTTATAATAAAATGTTTTAGATATGAGATTCCAATACAGTGCACATTCATAAATACTGTATATAGAGATGAATAGAAAATGCATCGCTCAGCTAGAGTCAAAATCGGAATTCGATCTCAAGCATATTTTCATTGCACAGTCCTGTATTGCGTAAAAAGTCAGCTTGTGGTTGTTCTACCCAATACATCTCTTATAAATACAATTCAAGCCCCCTGAATGAAACATTATACGTCTGGTAAATATGCTCTTTACCACAAGTCCAGTACTTGTCCTTTCTATTCGGAAAAAAATACGACACGAAAAGCTCATTCTGACAGGTACAACACAACGCGAAGCATTTCTTTTGCAAATACCCGTACCCCTACGAGATCATTAGGTTCGCTGACAGGAACGGAGGACTCTTCAACCCCCACTGCACACAGACCTGACCTTTAGAGCGTGAGGTCATGCCAATGCGTAAATAATATAAAAGCCTGCTTCGTTCAGCAAGTTGAATAATTGTTCAAAGGGCAAACGAGCACTTTTCAAGATGAAAGCAACCAGTTCTCGTTAGAATACCTGTTCCTACGCCACTGCGAAGCTCAAGGCACGACCAGTGATTGTTTGCATCCTTTTCATCTCGAAAAGGTCTTCATTTATATTCCTAGGCACTAAATCTCTTTGTCAAAGACCTTTAAAAGAGTTGCAGAAATGAACCTCGCTCGGTCTTATTCCAAATATAGTAAAGCTTCCGCACATTACGAAAATATTGAAGACTTGCGAGACTCAATAAAACAGAGTCCGCATATTTTTCTTTATTGCGAGGCGCATAAGAAACCACTTGAAAGAAAAAAGCAAATACAATTTAAGATGAAAGGCTGGAAGATACAACTGCGGGAGGAGAACGAAGACCAACGACACGATTAGGTCGCATGTGTAGTAAGTACTGTATAGTAATCACGGGTGTTTTCCTAAGGGAAAACCATTCGTTTCGCTTTATCGAGATACACTGTGTCTGTATTGTACTATTTGTTGAAACGTAAAGTAAATGTCCCATAGGAGAGCATACAAGGGGATGTTACTAGCATATATTTTGCGACGTGCCAGGAAAACAAGGACCTGCAAGTCCAAAAAGATGGTCATCCAACAAATAGTAACACAGCAGTGCAATATTTCATTCTTGAATCAAGAAAGAAGTTGTTTACCAATATAAAAATAATAAATATCAATGGTGTCTGGGACTTTGATGAACCTGCATGCAGTTATTTATGAGATTGCATCAAGTGCAAAAAATTGATGTACATAAGAGCTTTATTCTATGGATATTCATTTATTTTTTATGGCGCACAGCAAAATAAAGCGTAAAGTGAGTAAGAAAACTTTTGATTGTAAAGCTGCTACCTCTGTCATCAATCCTGCCATTTGCCTTGAATTTTAATTCCACATGTAAGACATAAAATTTGTTTTATGAATATTGCAGCTGCTACATCTTATGAAAAGAACTGCTTTCCTTTTAGCCTCCTCCCCAAAATATATGTGCAGTATATACTGTCTTAATATAGTTGACTGAGTCTCAGAACATGGTAAGAATACCCCGTTCTCATTTTGGCTTTCATGTGTCTTGCCTCGACTGCATCAGTTGCATTATCTGGTCACCAGTCATTCACTCAAAAATATTCCAGTCTACTTTCTGTTGCATTTTATGCACAGTCATGCACCTGTCTTGCACATCCAAGGAATCCATAAATGAGTGTTTGAACACTATTACAGTGCTCATTGCTGATTTGGTCAAGATTTTTGTCAGTTGACTTTGGGATTGTGTTAAACATGCTCTTACATTTGTACTGAGAAGTAGATTCATTTTGTGAAACCCCAGCCAGAAGGTAACTTCTTCCTATAAACTGCGGGTTTTTCACTGATACACTTTACTCCTTCAGATTACGTCGGGTATAATTGAAAAAAAAAACAATTATATTCCTACAAATTTACTTTGTCAAACTACCGCATAAACAAACCTCTCGATCTAGACTTCAGCAAACAAAATCAGTCGGCGGTTTTGTCCCATCGCGAATAAAAATAAATCAGCAGGTCAACTTTTATGATCCTCGCGCTAAATGAACCCCCGACCCCTACTGCGACCAGTAGCAAATATATAGAAGGTATACCAGAGAACAGTAAATCTTGATTCGGTTTCCCCGGAACCGCATTTTCCATCGTGATTCTTTATACCATGTCCTGCGGCAAATCAAAGCAAGGCAGCCGCGATGCCAGTTATTGGGTGCAACGGGGTTGCCTGGTGCTCTGCAGGCTGATTGTACTACAGTTGTTTCTCACCAGCTGGTGCAGCACTCGAATAATCTCCTGGGACCAGCCATGGCACCATGGTTCATCAGCGACGAGAGCTTCACCATTCCAGCCGCTTTCATTCCGAATGAAAAACTGGATTCCTCCATCTCAGCCAATATGAGAAGTAGCCTCATAAATTATTTTTTTCTATTGTATAACTTGAAGAAACTAAGGCCGGTGAAAAGAAAGATTTTTCATAAATAGTGGGATGAAAGGCCAAACGTTGGCTCGTCTCACATCACTTGAGCTTGCTGCAGCTACACAAATTCGGCTCATATTGAAAAAAACTTAGTGCAGCTACACATTACTGCTGCTGCCAATTGTCTTAATTCCTGCTAAAATTCAAGTTTCCATAAGAGCAACTCTACGGTTGCAAATTGAGAATTGAGCTTCATTTTCTGGACAACCATTAAATTTTTTTTTGAAAAATTCGCGGAGCATTGCCTCTCAGATGAAGTTCTTTTGATATTAATTGTTTCTACTGATGCAAGTAAAAATTCCCCATTTTTTAAAGCTCAAAAACTAGAGAGGGTTATATTTGCATATACCCACACAATATGCGTGAATATGCGTTTATCAGAAAATCTTCTTCAATATATTTGAAAGTGGGCGAAATCGATTCTAAACGCGTCAGACAGCAGATCCTTGATCCAGTTTCACCCACTCTTATTGGTAAAAAAAAAGTCGAAAACGTTTTGCCTTCCACAGTACGAAAGCGAATTAACTTTTGCATCTGTTTAATGATAATTCGACGAATTATCGGAAAATCATACCTGAAGGAAATTTACCCAGAATAATCCCTTATAAAATAATTGGTCCACGCTTCTTCTGACCCACAGAAGAAACGCAGCAGCAAAGTTCATTTTTGATGCGAAAAACGCATGCGATTTTCTGCTATGAATATAAATGACTTCATCAGCATAACCATTCGTGTACATGAGATATTTTCCTTCGCCAGCTTGGGTTTGATGGTTCATGATTGCTTCTTTCTCTCTGACATAAAGAAAAACAACATGCTAAATTACGTTAAAAAAAAAAAAAACCTGCCAACCAGGAACTTCACGCAGTCGTCTCGTCGTACGAGTATGTTTTGGCATAACAAATAACCCGTCACTACATGACATGAAGACCTGCAAAAAAAAGATAAAAGCTGAAAGCAAGGCGAAGACATCCATGAAAATCGAAAAATTCACTGCAAGGGACCCGATGGATCCCAGTCAGTCGCCATGAGGTCGTGCTGCGCATCTTGATGGGCAATCCAAATAATTCTCCCCAAGTTTTTCGGAGGAAACTTTGATCACGTAACACGCATAAGAAGGAGCTCTCCGTATGATGTGTCTCAAGGATATAAAATTCATCATGATAATGCTTCCCCGAACCCTTTTTGTCCGCAACCCACATTCTATATATGGGATGACCCATGATGCCATGAACCCATTCCCGAATAGATTTGATTCTCCTTTACCAAATGTGGCATTAAAGTAGAGTACAATGTCCTCGAGTGATGCGACATCGCGAATTCTGTTCTGGGTTGCAATTCGTGTAAAGGGAAAGGCCAGAAACTGTTCATTTAAAACATTATTCTAAAAAAAACACACACACAAAATGATTTTGCCAAGAAGATAAAGCTTTCGTGAATGCGCACAAGGTATTTCCCGAAAGTATTTTTTAAAAGAAAGTTTCAAATAGAAATCGACAAAGCAAAAGCGAAAAGAACACGGGATAGGAAAGATTTCCGTGAAGTTTGAAGATATTAAAATTTCTGAACCTTCATTTTAAGCATCGCATCTTGCATCTACTTCGAGTCTTTTTTTTTTAATAAGTCGTTTA